ATCGTTCATTCTTTGTTTTCTCAGGGCAGCAATGAGTCTGGTGCAAACTTCACACTGAGAATAATAATAATCCTTGCATCTTATTCAGCACTTTCCACATTGGGAGGATGTCTCAAAGTGCTTCACAGGATGCACGATGAAGGATGGTGACCATATTTTGTAGGCAAATGCTTTCGGCAGTTTGCACACAGCATTGACCTACAGACAACCATGAAATGAATGACTAATGGCCATTAGGGACTTCGAAAAGAGAAGTCCCTTCTCTTTGAATAGTACACAGGATTTTTAACATCCACCTGAATAGACAGACAGAACAAGGTTTAATGCTTAGTCTAAAGGGCAGCACCTCCAATAACGCAGCACCCACCCCCACCACCCCCCTGTTGTTGGAGTGATAGCTTGGACTGTGTGAGTTCAAAGTCAACCAACAACATCCTAACTCAGAGACAAGATTGTCTTATCAAGTGAACTGGGCATTAATAATGGTGGTCACTCACCCTCTGGTATCTCTTCCTCTTCACACCCACATGTAGATGACTCCAAGTCCTCCTTCTTCTTGCGGGCAGCCATCAGGAACTTCTGTTTCCAGATTATCTTCCTGTTGGCCTTCTGCTTCTCCTCCGCCAACATCTCCTGAAACATCTTTTCGTTCGCGTCATCCATTTTTTTTCCTCCTCCTTCCCCCTCCTCCTCTGATGATGGTTCACTCAGTTGTGAGCCCTTTGCCTCCAACCACTTCCCAGGGTCAATGTAAAGAGCCCTCCCACCACCCACCCTCGTGTCAGCCACAGGTCTTTGTGACACTGACAGCACCAGCACCAGAAATCATTGTGAAGTCAAACAATCAACGTGGCTCATTGACTCAATCATCACAATTCCCTTTGTGTTAATCCTTAGGATCAGATATTAAAACTGAGATCCTGTCTGTATCTGTTCAGGTAGACGTTAACTAACCCATGAATACCATCGAAAAAGAGAAGGGAATGTCTCCAGTGTCCTGGTCGGAACTCTTGCTCACCTTATCGATGTTTGTGAGACATTGCTCTGTGCAAATTGACTGCCTTGACACCTAAAAATACATCGTCACAACCCTTGACAGCAGTTACTGTGAAGCGCTTTGAGGCATTTTGACATTAGAAGCAAGGATTTGTATTATTAAAAGTCAGAATGCAGATCTGAGGGTCTTAAGATATTGGGTCTGTTTTTAGTGGGAACACAGAAGGTTAAGATTCACAAATATTTACAAAGCATGCACAGGATGGAAACAGGCCACTCGGCTCAATAGCGGACTGGGAGTTGCAGCTGGAGTAGATTTGGGGGTCATCCACATGCATGTAGAAGTTGACCTCATATCTGTGGATCACATCACCGAGAGGGAGCATGTAGGTGAGGAAAAGAATGGGGCCAACGATGGAGCCTTGAGGTCCCCTGAAGGTGACCAGGCGAGAAAACAAAAATTGGCCAAGATGAAGTGTTGGTGCTTGATTAAATGGACTTGAATCATGCAAGTGTGGTCCCACTAAGGCGGATAAAGGAAGAGAGGTGGTGGAGGAAGATAGCGTGGTCGCTTGTGTTGAATGCAGCAGAGAGGTCCAAGAGAACGAGGAGGCAGAGCGAGCCCTGGTCACAGTGAGAGAGGACGTCATTTGTTACTTTGACGAGAACTGTCTCTGTGCTGTGGGTTGGGCAGAAACCAGACTGGAGGGGTTCGAATATGAAGTGGAGGGTTAGGTGTGAGGGAAGTCGAGTTGTTGTCCCATGAGTGGACTGAACAAGCCTGAAGGTGTTTTTCCACTCTTTACTTTTATTTTGCTGTATTTATGTATCTGTATCTGTGTATTTGTGTATCAATATGTATCTCTGTATTCACAAATCTGCAAGTTTCTACGTGTCTATGTATATCTACATATTTGAATCTGTGTATCTATGTATCTGTAGGTACTTATGTATCTGTATCTCCACTTAGGTATCTGTTGAGTGGAGTCCCATATCGTAGTGGTTAGCGTGCACCTCGCAAGCGAGAGGACCCAGGTTTCATTTCCAGGTGGACAAAACCTTAGGCCAGTTTCCTTACTCTTTACTGCTATCTGCAGTTGGCTACCATATTTTGCCCACCAAATAGACAGTCAACCCATTTTACAATATATTCTGTAAAGCTTTTTGAGATGATAATAATAATCCTCGCATTTGATATAGCGCCTTATCACGTCTTTGAGATGTCTCAAAGCGCTTCACATGATAAAGCACGACATCAAATGAAAGGAATATTATTATTATAGTCAGTCTGTGTGGGGTTTGCATGTCTCAGTGTCAACACATCTGGCCACATGTTCAGAAGTCAGTGGGAACACTCAGCAGGTCAGGCAGCGTCTATGGAGAAAGGAAAGTGAGTCAACATTTTGGGTCCACGACCCTTCGTCAGAAACGTTGACTCACTTTCCTTTCTCCACAGATGCTGCCTGACCTGCTGAGTGTTCCCAGCGACTTCTGCTTTTGTTTTCAGATTTCCAGCATCTGCGGTATTTTGTGTTTTGGCCCCAGGTTCAGGTCACTTGGCCTTCAATTTGCAGGTGAACACAGGAGCTGCCTGGCTTCTCATCAGCCGTGCCCTGGAGTAATGCCGATTTGCCTGTCTCAGGAAGCAGACTGCCCAGATAATTCCAACATTAATCATCATAAATCAACAACAACTTGTATTTATATGAGTTTTTTCATAATTCCTCTTCGCCACTGTCAACCTCATGTGCAGTGGGGGTTTAATGTACAGTGAGACACTGCCACCCAGTGGGTGTTTAGTGTATAGTGAGACACTGCCACCCAGTGGGTGTTTAGTGTATAGTGAGACACTGCCACCCAGTGGGTGTTGAATGTATCGAGAAACACTGCCACCCAGTGGGTGTTTAGTGTATAGTGAGACACTGCCACCCAGTGGGTGTTTAGTGTATAGTGAGACACTGCCACCCAGTGGGTGTTGAATGTATCGAGAAACACTGCCACCCAGTGGGTGTTTAATGTATAGCGAGACACTGCCACCCAGTGGGTGTTTAATGTATAGTGAGACACTGCCACCCAGTGGGTGTTTAGTTTGAATGGAGAGACACTGCCACCTGGTGGCTATTTACTCAATCACTCAATCCGCGACTGTTTGTGGGACGCTGCTGCGTGCAATGGGGCAGCTGCGGTTTCGCCCACAAAATATAAAGTCAATTCACTTTGCAGCACACTCCGTGAAGCGCTTTGAGCCGTCTCGAAGGTGTGATAAAGCGCTCTATCAAATGCGAGGAGTGTTATTATTATTATTATATCAAATGCAAGGATTATTATTCTAATAATTTAGCCCAAACCACAGACTCAGGCACTTCTACTCAAATTTAAAATCCACGTGAGATGAGAGAGAGAGAGAGAGAGAGAGAGAGAGCCGCAGTCGGCTCACCTAAGCGTAGAACACATTCAGGAAAGCTCATCCGCCACACCTTGAAGGTTGCAAGGTTTGGTTTCTCCTTTGCATGGACTCCATGGCTTCCGATGGACAGCGGGGCGGCGGGATTGGATTGATCTCCTCGCTCTGTGAGCCAGTACGGAGACACGAGTACAAGATAGAGACGGGGGGGGGGATCTAAAAGAGAATCCAGGAGGAACTACTTCACGCAGATGGCAGTGAGAATGTGGCCCAAAGCAGTGGTTGAAGCAAATAGTGTGAGTACATAATAGTCCTCGCGTTTGCTACGGCGCTTTATCACGTCATCGAGACGTCTCAAAGCGCTTCACACAATATAGTAAAGTGAATCGAGTGTATATTTTCTGCGCAAAACTGCCCAAAATTTGCATTTAGGAGGAACCTGGAGCTTGACAGAGGGAGAGGGGAATAGAAGAGTGAGGGAGGGGGTGAGGAGTGTGGGAGTGGGGGGGGGGAGGTGGCCGGGGTACACGCTGTAATGGTTGGTTTGGGGAGTGGGGGGGAGGAGTGGGGGGAGAGGTTGAAGGGGTTGGGAGGAGGTGGGAAGGGGTTGGGAGGAGGGGAGGGGGTGCCGGGAGAGGGGGAGGGATTGGGGAGGGAGGTGTTGGGGAGGGAAGGGTTTGGGGGGGGGAAGGGGGTGTTGGGGTGGGGGTGTTGGTGGGGGGAAGGGGTTGGGAGTGGGGGGGGTTGGGGGGTGGGGAGGAGTGGGAGGTGGGTGTTGGGGGGAAGGGCGGTATTGGGGGGGAGGGGCTGTTGGGGGAGGGGTGTGTTGGGGGGGAGGGGGGTGTTGGGGGGGGAGGTGTTGGGGGGGAGGGGTGTGTTGGGGGGGAGGGGGTGTTGAGAGTGGGGGAATGTTGGGGGGGTGGGGGGAGGGGTGGGGGTGTTGGGGGTGTGTGGGGGGAGCGGTGGGGGATGTGGGGGGGGTGCAGGGGGGGAGGGGTGTGGGGGGGGTGTTGTTGGGGGGGTGCGGGGAGGGGTGTGGGGGGGTGTGGGGGGGAGGGGTGTGGGGGGGTTGGGGGAGGGGTGTGGGGGGGGGGTGTGGGGGGCTGTGGGGGGAGGGGTGTGGGGAGGGGTGTGGGGGGTGTCGTGTAGGGAGGTGGGGGGTGTGGGGGGAGGGGGGGGGTGGGGAGGGGTGAGGAGGGGTTGGGGGAGGGGGTGTGGGGGGTTGGGGGTGTGGGGGGGGAGGGGTGGGGGAGGGGTGTGGGGGTGTCGGTGGGAGCGGTTGGGGGTGTGGGGGGGAGGGGGGGGGGGGGGAGGGGTGAGGGGGGGGAGGGTGTGGGGGAGGGGGAGGGGGGGGAGGGTGTGGGTGGGAGGGGTGGGGGGGGGTGGGGTGGGGGGGGGGGGGGGTGGGGGGAGGTGAGGAGGGGGAGAGGGAGGATCCGCGCTGTAATGATTGGTTTATGAGCAGTAAAGGGAGTCACGTGGTGAGGGCGCGCGTGACGAACGGTGTGTGGGTCACGTGGGTGTGTCAGTGCGGTGGGGGTTTGGAGGCACGTGGTGAGCGAGCGGGTGACGCGCGGCGGGCGGGTCACGTGACGAGGCGGGTGAGGCGCGGCGGACGGGTCACGTGACGAGGCGGGCGGGTCACGTGCCTCTGGCGGCTGTAAACAGACGTCATGGCGGAGGTGTTTTATTTGGAGTTGTGCGACGCTCCGGTGCAGTTCGAGAAGGTGTCAACTGTCAATAATGTCTTCTTTGATGAGGCCAACAAACAGGTGAGACACCAACCCGACCGGGAGAGCCCAGTGTGAGCGAGGCCGGGCCCGGGCCGAGCTGCCGGCGGCCTCTGTGGGGCCTGTGGGCGGCCTCTGTGGGCGGAGTGAGGAGCTGCTGTCGGTCTCTGTGCCAACAACAACAAGTTACATTTGTCCAGTAACCCCTTTGACGGGCGAGGGGTGTCTCGGGCCGCGGGACAAGTCGAGTGGCTGGAGATGGGGGTGGAATCAATAGTGACGCTTTAAAATCCGTCACTGCTGAGCGCACATCGGCTGCTCCCTCCCGTTCCCCTACAAGACCGCACAGTCACTACACTTCACAGGAAAAATCCTGTGAAGATCTTTGAGATGGCTCCTGGCGCGAAAAGTGGTGTATCATGTGTACTCGAAATATAAATGTGTTTCCATGGAGCTGTGTGTGTGTGTGTATATATAGAGAGGGGTGTATGTATATAGGTGTGTGTGTATATATATATAGAGAGAGGTGTGTGTATGTATATAGGTGTGTGTGTACACAGAATGTTGATATAAAACAGGTTTGAGATAAATCGGTAGCACTGTAGCACTTTTCATGTCATCAGAACATCTCAAAGCACTTCACAGGATTTTGGTGCCTATTTTAGAATTCCTTAGAATATTTGTGGAGTCCTGTAACTCAGTGGTTAGAGCGCTCGCCTCTCAAGCGAGAGACCTGGGTTTGATTCCCAACAAGGTGAAACCTTGGGCAAATTTCCTTACTCTACACGTCTAATAATAATCCCTCAAGAAAAAAAAATAATGAATTGGTCACTTCAATCCGCAACTGTTTGTGCGACACTGCTGTGTGCAATTGGCTGCCGCATTTTGCCCACAAATATACAGTCAATTCACTTTACAGTATATTCTGTGAAGCACTTTGAGACCTATAGAGGATGTGAAAAGTGCTATATCAAATGCAAGGATTATTATTATAATGCTCCATTGTATCTGCAATTCAATGCAGTTTACATTTATACAGTGCTTTTCACACCAGGAAGACATCTAAAATACTTGACACTGCGGGCTGGGCTCCCGAGCTAGGAGCCTAAGGGGGTGGAAATGGGAAAGATGACCGGAAGTGTGATCAATAATACAAGCGATGAATTGGAGCTAAATATAATATTTTATGCATTATTCACTGCATTCCTGTAAATAGCAGAATGTGACCACTTATAAACATTGAAGCTTTTGGCTGTTTCATTATAGTGCAGTAATTTTCCTCTTTTTTTTAGGTGTTTGCTGTTAGATCCGGTGGTGCTACTGGAGTGGTGGTTAAGGGGCCAGATGATAAGAGTTGTATGTCTTTCCGGTAAGCATCTTGCAAAACCAGAGTGGTTGAAACTTCTCCCTTTGCAACTGAACCATAATGGCACTCCACATCAGTATCACCACCTGTGGGAGAATCTTTGTAGTGTTGGTAGCTTAAGAACAGATTCATATTGCTTGATTCAAGATTGTATGAATTTGATGGTGAGAATATTAATATAAATAATAATAATCATGCATTTGGTATAATGCTATATCACATTGAGATATCTCAAAGAGCTTCACAGAATATGCTGTAAAGTGGATTTACTGTATGTGGGCAGATCCGGTGCCAGTTGCACACAACAATGTTTCACACACAGCAATGTTTCGCAAACGGCCATGGACTGAATGACCAATTTTATTTTGTGGGATTGTTGGCCAGGTCACCGGGGGAAACTCCCTTCACTTTTCGAATAGGATGAGATCTTTAACATCCACCTAAACAGGCAGATGGGACCTTGGCTTAACATCTCATCTGAAGGACAGCATTTCCGACAATGCAGTGCTCCCCAGTACCTCATTGGTGTGCATAGAGAATCAAAATGAATTTTTTGTAATTTTAAGTTAATTTCAGATCGCAAGAGAATGAAGATGGTGCTTCCAGAGCACAAGCCTACCTTAACAGGATATAATGTGGAGTCCTGTAGCTCAGTGGTTAGAGCACTTGCTTTGCAAGCGAGAGACCTGAGTTCAATTCCAGGCAGAGGGCGAAACCTTGGGCAAGTTTCCTTACTCCACACGCCTAATAATAATCCCTCCAAAACAAAAAACAATAATACATTGGTCATTTTCAATCTACGACTGTTTGTGGGACATTGCTGTGCGCAATTGGCCTCCGCGTTCGCCCACACAATATACAGTCAATTCACTTTACAGTATATTCTGTGAAGGCTTTGAGATGTCTAGACGACGTGAAAAGTGCTATATCAAATGCAAGGATTATTATTATTATAAATACAGTAATCCATGTCCAACAAACAGCCATGATAATAATCCTTGCATTTGATATAGCGCCTCATATGTTTGAGACGTTTCAACTCACTTCACAGAATATACTGTAAAGTGAATTGACTGTATATTGTGTGGGTGAAACACGGCAGCCAATTGAGTGCAGTTGTGGATTGAGTAACCAATTATATATTATTTTGAAGGAATTATTAGTCCCAGGTAAAGTGATCTACCAATCAACTAACAACCAGGTTCCTGCTTACTGTTAGGTAAACAGAGGCATGTGGAGTAAAAGAACGTGCTTAACGTTTCATCCTGTCAGGAATCGAACGCAGGTCTCTCACTTGTGAGGTGAGTGCTCTAACCACTGAGCTACAGGACTCCAAAAATGAGCCTAATGACCTGGCTTCCATTACTCTTCCTGGCAACCTGTTCCAGGTGTTGTTTACCCTCTGTATAAAGAAATGCTTCCTGATGTCTGTCCTGAAATTATCCCTCATTTGGTGTCATCTCCAAATTTAAAAACCTTGGATTAAGTGTGCAGCATCAACCTCCGTGGTTGCACACTACAACTCACCAAGCCAGTCAGGAACCTAGGTGTCTTGTTCGACCCTCAACTGTCTTCTTCCTCACATCTAAGCCATGACCCGTTCTACCTTCCCTCACCTCCGTAACATCACCCGACTCCGCCACTACCCCACCCCTCAGGCCGCTGAAACTCTTGTTCATACCTTCATCACCTCCAGACTCGACTATGCAAACCCCCTGCTTGTCGGCCTTCCCAACTCCTCTCTCCACAGGCTGCAGATAATCCAGAACTCTGGAGCCCGTGTCCTCTCCCGCACCAAACTCCGTGACCCCATCTCCCCCACTCTCGCCCGACTCCATTGGCTCTCTATTCTTCAGAGGATCCAGTTCAAGATTCTGATCTTCACCTACAAAGCCCTCCATGGCCTCGTCCCACCCTACCTCTGCAACTCCTAACCCCCTACCAACCCGCCCGTTCCCTCCGCTCAGCTGGCTTTGGCCTGCTCCACGTCCCCCGACCCACCCGCCCCACCATCAGCCCTCTGCCCCCAACCTCTGAAATTCCATCCCCCAGTCACTCTGCCTCGCCCCCTCCTTAGCTTCCTTCGTCCCGCCTCAAGACCTCCTCTTCGACCATGCCGTCGGCCACACCCCCCCCCACCCCCCGGGTTCGGGTCTGAAATGCTGTACACTGTCCAGCGCCTTGGGACGTCCTCCTGACGTGAAAGGTGCTATACAAATAATAATAATATAATAATAATAATAATCCTTGCATTTGATATAGCGCTTTTCACGTCGGGAGGACGTCCCAAAGCGCTTCACAGAACACACTGTAAAGTGAATTGACTGTATATTTGTGGGCGAACGCGGCAGCCAATTGCGCACAGCAATGTCCCACAAACAGTCGTAGATTGAAAATGATCAATTTATTAGTTTTTGGTTTTGGAGGGATTATTATTAGGCTCTGTGTGGAGTAAGGAAACTTGCCCAAGGTTTCGCCCTCTGCCTGGAATTGAACTCAGGTCTCTCGCTTGCAAAGCGAGTGCTCTAACCACTGAGCTACAGGACTCCAAATGTAATCTTGTTGTTGAAATCTATACATTTGGTACCAAGAATAGAAGGGATCTCCAGAAGATTGTATATATTATATTAAGTATAATATATTCTATATGTTATATATATGCAATCCCACCTTCAGCTCAAAATTGTTGTGTGCTTTGAGACGTCCTCCTGACATTGTATTGTAATATATTGCTGTATGAATTATACTATATACAGAGGCTGGACAAAGGAGCAAATCTAATCGTCAAGACTGCAGCCTTGTGCTCTATATTTATTGTAATGCATGAGTATATTCATAATACCAAACAATATCAAATGTCATGTGAGGAGTAATAAAGGGATATTAAACAAGTCTAAATTAAGTAGATAAGGAGAGAAAGGCTTAGAAATGCTACAAAAAGGTTGGACATGTCAGTTTTTTGTTAAAATTCTGACATATAGAGAATGCTCTTTATTGTTGGATTTCCTCATAATTTGCAGCTCTGACTTTATCTTGTTGCAATTTCACACATCAGTAAATACCGCAAGCTTTAAAATACATACTGTTGCCACATCCTTAATTAGTGACTTGAGTGTGTGATATCAGTTGCACTAGTCGCGCAACTGCTGCTCTTATTTGTCTGCACCCTGACAAATAAAGCGCCCCTGTTCACGTTCTCATCCTGAACAAAAATATGAATGCACTGAGTCTCATGGAACCCTGGCTCATCCACTGTGACACCTTCCCTCTCCCTGAGGCCAGCTGACGGACCAGGATACATCCATCGCCTTACTACTCTGGTTCCTTCTCCTCCACCATCTCTCCAACCTCTCTCAGCACTCTAACTCTCTACTCTCCCTAAATGTCCCCAGCACACTTCTCCTGTTATCTCTTCCTTCCTAATATCTACATCACCAACAGCTTGCATTTATATAGAGCCCTTCACACCAAATAGAGTGGGGGAAGTAATAAGAGCTGAGGTAGAAAATTTACAGCTAAATTTGCATTCCTGGATTATCATGGAGGTGAAGATAACCCCAGGCTTCTCTTCATCATCACCAAATAGATCATCTGTCCACCCTCCCATGCTCTGTCCACCCGAGCTGGGCAAGCAGCAGGAATCTTGCCAGACACAAGTCATGGGAGGCTATCGATCAGTCTTCGTAAAGTACTTTGAGATGTAAATGTCAACAAGACTCAGGCCCTCATGCTTAGCTTCCATCAGCGCCTCCATACCTCGGGCGCTGACAGCATCTCCTTCAATGGATGTACTCTACATCTTTCGGAACCAATATGGAACCTCAATGCCCTTCATACCCCACATCCATGCCATGACCTGCTCCGCCTTTCCGCAACTCCATAACATCACCCAGCTCCGTCACTATCTCACACCACAGGCCGCTGAGACCCTCATACACGCATTCATAACATCCAGGTTTGACCATGCAAACTCACTGCTTCTCAGCCTTCCCAACTCCTTCCTCCATAGGCTGCAGATCATCCAAAACTCTGCAGCCCGTGTCATCTCCCACACCAGGCTCTGTGACCCTATCGCCCCCATTCTCACCCGACTCCACTGATTTCCCATCCCACAGAGGTTCAAGACCCTAGTCCTCACTTTCAAAGCCCTCCCCCCTACTTCTGCAACCTCCTAGCCCCCTACCAACCTACCCGCTCCCTCAGTTCAGCGGGCTCCGATCTGCTTCACGTTCTCTGCCTCGCCTTCCCCACCATTGGCGGGCGCACCTTCAACAACTCTGCCTCCACCCATTGGAATGCCATCTCACAGCTCTCCGTCTCGCCCCTTCCCTTGCCTCCTTCAAGACGTGTCTCAAGACCCTCTTCAAACCCTTCTTCCCAGCCCTCCACCCTCCCCGATTCTAACCCCCAGCTCGGGTCCGAAACACTGATTGTCCAGCGCCTTGGCACGTCCTACCAATGTGAATGGCACTAATACAAATGTAATTTTTGTTGTTGTGTTCTCTTTACCTGAAAGGGCCTATATAAGTGCAATTTGTTGTTGCTTTTTATTGAATCACAGTTTTAAGAACATAAAAGTATGGAAGAAGAAATAAAAATAAAGCCACATGCTTCCAATTGCAATTGTACCTTCTATTTATTAATTCTAGTGTATTTTAGCTAATAGAAATTATTCCTCTCCCCCCCCCCAAAAAAAAAATGTTTCATGATCGTCAGTTTGCGGAGAAGTCCTGTGATTCACCATCAAGACCATCCTCAGGTATTGAAACTGGAAGTGGTACAAAAGTAAGGGACTGAGGTGTTTCTATTAAAAAGACAGTATTTACACTTCCCTTTACTGTGCTTAAGGATATCCAAATCGGACTTAGCGAGTGCCATGTATGTATGCCACCAACGTGTGGAAATTTCCATGTGTCACCACGCTGACCAAATAAAATAGAATAGCTTGCTGGTACTCGTTGCATGAACTCACACATCAAGAATAACCTCTTGGGTGAAAATCTTAGAGGGCTGTTGGTCCTTAGTTCCAGAACATGAGCCAGTGCCTTCAGGAAAGGAGAACTCTTAAAAAAAAATTACTGCTGTAACTTTGAATGTTTCCTTGAACTTACCAAATTTGAATTTTTCCACAAACCCCCAAATGTACCTCGTGGATGTTAACTTGTGACCTCCACAATCTCCAAGACTACACTAGACTTTAAACCAAACTTGGAAATTGCTTCCTTCCAGCAGACAGTCGAGTAATTTTTTTAAAAAGTTCCAGAAAAAATCAACGATTAATTACGTGTCGTTCCAAAAATATTACAAAGTGACAAAAGTGCCCTTTGCATGAGGACGAAACATTGGGCAAGTTTCCTTATTCCACACGGCTCTGTTTATCTAGCAGTAAGTAGGAACCCGGTTTTTAGTCGATTGGGGGATCGCTTTTCCAGGGGTAATAATTCCTTTAATAAAATGGTCACTCAATACTGGCAGGTGGGTGGGTTGGTAACCCGAGGACACCGATTTAAAATAGTTGTTAAAAGAAACAGGGGAAGTGAGGAGAAATGTTTATCACACAGCGAGTTGTTCGGATCTGGAATGCATTGCCTAAAAGGGTGGTGGAAGCCGATTCGATAACAACTTTTAAGAAAGAAATAGATAATTATTTGGGGAGAACAAGTTTGCAGGACTATGGGGAGAGAGCGGGGGAGTGGGATTGAATTGGATAGCTCTTTTCAAAGAGCCGGCACTGACACGATGGGCCGAATGGCCTCCTGTGCTGAATAGTTCTATGATTCTGCGAATAGTGACTAATTGGACACTGTTTGTGGGACACAGCCGCATTTCGCCCACAAAATATAACGTCCAATTCACTTTACAGTATATTCTGTGAATCATTTCAAGACGTCGCAAATCCAAGGATTACTATTATTATGTAAATGGTATTTTAGTATCCTGTAGCTCAGAACAGGAAATCCAAATGTGTGACACACAAAGAGCAAGTTTGACACAGTGCAAATTAGTTTGGTTTAGTGATGGTTTTCATGCCATGTTTCAATTTATTCTTGCTTTTTTTTATTCTTGAAATCTTTCTGTCTTGTGAGTATTGTTCCCATTTTTGTTTATATGTTTTGCCCACAAAATATAGTCAATTCACTTTACAGTATATTCTGTGAAGCGCTTTGAGATGCCTCGAGGACGTGATAAGACGCTATATCAAATACTAGGATTATTATTATACCCAACACATTCGTTTTCTCTCTATAAGAGTTATTATTCCTTTCCAGAATGGAGGACAAAGGAGAAGTAAAGTGTATCAAATTTTCATTGGGGAACAAGATTTTAGCTATGCAGCGAACATTGAAGACTGTGGTAAGCAGATGTTTTTTGCTCCCCCAAATGTACAATTTTTAAACATAATGATTTAGCGCTGAAATAAAATGAATTGTACCATGCTCACCAATTGTTCCTCTTTTCACATTCTGCAGGAGTTTATTAACTTTATTCCTGATTTGCCCCAAACAGAATACTCTCAAGAGTGCAAGGTAATAATTTACTTTTAAAATATGCACAAACTGATTTGTAAAGTCTCATTGTTTTGTGGGTGTAACTTCTTGTTTTTTTCACACGTCTGTAGACGAAAAATGCCAACATCCTGGGGTTCTGTTGGATCAGCTCCAATGAATTAGTATTTATTACTGACCAAGGCATTGAATTTTATCAGGTAATGAGACTCACAGCTACATTTTAACGTGCGATTTAAGAGGGATAAATCATTTTTTTAAGAGTAGATTGTTTGAAATATCCCCAGTTATTATCATACAATATAAGCATTGGTATACATTGAGAATTACACTGTTCTTTTAATGTACAATGGGATATATATGGTATTTCTGTGCCAATGATATTTGGTACAGAAATGTGCCAATTGTGTTGCTAGGCTGGCTCAGATGGTAGCACTCTTGCCTCTCAGTCACTGGGTTGAGGGTTCAAGCCCCATGTTTGGACGTTGAACTCACATAGTCTAGGCTGACATCTAATGCAATGATGGTGGTGGGCTGCAGTGTGGCCACACACTGTGTCCTTCAGATGTTGTTTACAGTGTGCAGGAAGTGACATCAATGGCAACCTGCTGACCCACAAGTCATCTTAAAATGTAGAAAGATATTTTTATTGTCAAAAAATTATTTTCGTTGGATTTTGGATCATTGCAAAAAATAATAATAATCCTTGCATTTGATATAGCGCTTTTCACATCAGGAGGACGTCCCAAAGCGCTTCGCAGAACACACTGTAAAGTGAATTGACTGTATATTTGTGGGCGAACGTGGCAGCCAATTGCGCACAGCAATGTCCCACAAACAGTCGTAGATTGAAAATGACCAATTTATTATTGTTTTTGGTTTTGGAGGGATTATTATTAGGCGTGTGGAGTAAGGAAACTTGCCCAAGGTTTCGCCCTGCCTGGAATTGAACTCAGGTCTCTCGCTTGCAAAGCGAGTGCTCTAACCACTGAGCTACAGGACTCCAAAAAAGACAAATGTTGATCTTTACGAATCTTTACACATTTCCAACAATCCTAATATACCTTCATGAGATTTAGCCCTGATCAGGTAAAAATTAAAAATGAATTATAAACCGGATTTAAAAATTGTTTCAAATAGTTTGGAAAGTCTTAGTTTTCCTTTAGAGTTGTACAGCAGACCTTTTCACACTGAATTACTTGCAAGAGAATGCAACTTTGTAGAGAGTAGATTACTTCGGAAGAATCGATTATGGTTGCATTACTGCAAGTGCCAATTCTCTTGCAAAAATCTTCAAATACTTGCCCTGACACCATTAATGTAACTGAAATTGCTTTAATAATTCCCCCAATAGAATCATAGAAATTTACAGCATAGAAAGAGGCAATTTCGTCCACTGAGTCTGCATCGGCTCTCAGAGCAATAATAATAATAATCCTTGCTTTTGATATAGCGCTTTTCACGTCGGGAGGACGTCCCAAAGCGCTTCACAGAACACACTGTAAAGTGAATTGACTGTATATTTGTGGGCGAACGCGGCAGCCAATTGCGCACAGCAATGTCCCACAAACAGTCGTAGATTGAAAATGACCAATTTATTATTTTTGGGGGTTTTGGAGGGATTATTATTAGGCGTGTGGAGCAAGGAAACTTGCCCAAGGTTTCGCCCTCTGCCTGGAATTGAACTCAGGTCTCTCACTTGCAAAGCGAGTGGTCTAACTACTGAGCTACAGGACTCCACAGCTGTACTTCCACATCCCCTTCAAGTCTCAAACCTCTAACCTGTCTACTTCCCTCTTGAAACCCACAATGGACTCTGTCTCCACAACCACAACAACAAGATTACATTTATATAACGTCTTTCTACCACCTTATTTGCCAACCCATTCCACATGCCAACAACTCTCTGTGGAAAAATACAAGGTCACTGAATCAACCCCATGGTTGTGGGACACTGTTGTGCGCAATTGGCTGCCGCTTTCATCCACAGAATATACAGTCAATTCACTTTACAGTATATCCTGTGAAGCGCTTTGAGACATCTTGATTACGTGAGGCACTATTTCAAAATGGAAGGATTATTATTAACCTAGGACTTGTGACCTAGGAACATAACTTCACAATATTGTATTGTTTTTTCCCAGGTCTTGCCTGACAAGCGTAATTTAAAACTGTTGAAGAGCCAGAGCATCAATGTTAACTGGTTTATGTACTGCCCCGATACTGCCGTCGTCATCTTGTCCACCACTGTCCATGGGAATGTTCTTCAGCCTTTCTATTTCAAAGTAAGAGATGTTATGTTTATGAGATTTAGCCCTGATCGGGTAAAATTAAAAATGAGTTATAAACCGGATTTAAAAATTGTTTCAAATTGTTTGGAAAGCCTTAGTTTTCCTTTAGAATTGTACAGCAGCCCCTTTCACACTGAATTACTCTCAAGTGGATGCAACTTTGTAAAGAGCAGATTACTTAGGAACTATTGAAAAATATATATAAAAATTGTTTTCATTAGATTTTGGAACATTGCAAAAAAGACGAATGTTGATGTTTAGCTTTGCAAAACAGCACAAAAAGTGTGAGCAGAAATATTTAGGTAATGCCCAAAGTATGAGCAGGGGAGAATGATGATGATTACAAATGTTTACTGGAGCATGCCGCACAGTACACTAGAATACTGTGAGTGGGCACAAGGAAATGTGTCCGTGCCTACAAGAACATTATGAAGATTTGTCAGACCGTCTCAGTTGGTAGGACTTTTGCCTCTGAGTCAGAAGGTTGTAGGTCATTTAGAATCAAAGCAGTGATGACAGGTTTGAAGAATCTCTGTTTTATTATGGTAAGTTTGTGTTGTCCCTTGTGTGCAAAAAAAAAATTGGATGTGCACAGAAGACGTAAGGATTGCTACCATTCTCCTTTACAGAGTGGAACCATGTCCAAGATGTTAAAATTTGAAATTGAACTCCCTGCCATCCCCAAATCTGGAAGTCTCTGTCTCTCTGAAAGGGACATAACAATGGCCATATTGTAAGTAATGACTTTTCTGGAATCTGACACAATATTCAGAGATTGATGTTTCTATTTTGTATTTCAAAAGGGAAGGTGGCCATGTAAGGATGTTGTACTGTAGTTACAAATACAAATTTACATTTATACAGCATCTTTCATGTCGGCAGGACGTCCCAAAGCCCTTAACAGTCCTGGCTGGGCACCCGAGCTGGGTGGGAGCCGAGGGTAGTGGGGAGGAGAAAGATGATCAAAAGCGTGGTCGAAGAGGTAGATCTCAGACTTACCATCCCCCATATTTAATTTAGAAATATTAAAATCAACTCTGGATTTGTCTCAATGATCAAATTGAAACAAAAAATACAGTATCTTTGTTTCCCATTGGCAATGCATCATATTAATCAGGTTCCTCTTATAATCTAGTGGTAATTGTGTTGCCTCTTTTTCTCCCCCCTCTTCCCCCACAAGATATGGCCAACTTTATGTCCTTTATCTAAAGCATCAAGGAAGAACTCCTAATAATCCTGGTGCAGAAGTTATCTTGTACTATTTACCAAGGTAAGGACTGTTCTTTGAAAACCAGATTTGTCTGACTTTGTGCTTTTACATAGATTCCTTAAATGTCGCTCGCATTTTAATTGCAGGGAGGGACCGTGTAAGAAAACGCATATATTGAAACTAAATGTCACGGGGAAATTTGCGTTGAACGTTGTTGATAACCTGGTGGTGGTTCATCACCAGAGTTCTCAGGTAATAATACTACACCTCATCCATTGTTACAGAGCCTGTTTACTGTCAATATATCCAGTTACTATTGAACAATAACTTTGAATAATAAAGTGCAGCCTTGAAATAAGATACTTTCTAGCGCTGATTCATTTAGAACATGAATCACGTATGGATTCCCATTCTCTGTGCATAAACACAGGCGTGTGCTCAGTTCTCACAAGCTGAACATTTTCCGCACCAAAAGTGTCTGGTTGACTGGTTGTTATGTTACGGCCGATGTCACATTCTGTGTGCTATGGAAGTAGCAACGGCAACCTGATGAACCACAGATCTAAACCTACACTTTTATACAGCGAAACCAGCTATTGTTTCACTGCTTTCATATATTTTTGTCAATTTGCAATCTCATTCAAATCTTAATCTGACTCTATTTTCATATAGTTAATAAGATGGAAACTGTCTGCTCTGATGGCTCCATTGGCAAAGTTTGTGCCTACAGTAAAGCTGAGCCATGAATGATACAAGTTTAGTCTGTGACCTGTGCTGAGCTACTTTACCTCAGATGGGAGATCAGTAGGAATGCTACAATTGGCCTGCTAAGCAGCGGAGGGAAATTGCTACATCTGAGATCCCAAATCATCAAGAGATGTGATTTGAAGACTTGTTTATCAATAATTTATCGTCTGCTGATGGTTTATATATCATCCAAAGATGCTCAGCATTTTGTCCACCTGTGAAGAATGGAAATATCTATAATTGAGGACGGTGACCTAATGGTTTGCATTAGAACCACTTGAGGCGGCTAATAACCACATAAATTTGTTGAGGCTGTTTCTGATTCTATAATGTTTTCTGTTAGTCTCTAATGTGGAAGTGATACGACTTCTGCTGTGAACATTGCGCCAGTGGAAAATCACACCGCTGAAATGTGTGACCTCGTAGATCTGTATTTTTTTATTCACAGACATCTATGATTTTTGACATAAAACTACGAGCAGAATTTGATGGAGCTGTAATAATTCACCATACTGTGCTTCCTCCTCTATCCATTCATCCTTGCAAAATTCCTCGAGCCGGTGAGCATTTTAACAGAAGTTAAATTCATCTTTGGACTTTAAAAAAGAACTCACTTCTGCTGGAATGTGAAGAGCATGATTAACAGTCAAAGCGATTCCATTTCTACTGTTTGCATGACAATGTGGTTTCGCTTTAGCAGCAGCATTTCCTATAATGACTCATGACCATGTTATTCTAAAACAGAGGCAATAGGCAAATTTTAAAATCTGTCTTTCTGTCATTGCTAGTGATATTGCTACGTGGAGCTGAAGTCAGGACTAAGATTAGGAGGTGTCTCCAGTGACTCTCAGACTTGCCAACATTAGACAGCAGATTGATGCTGAACGAAAGATGATTACTGACCAGTTATTCATAATGCTATTTGGTCATGCAGCTGAACAGTTCTTGGAAAGACTAGTGAAGATATCATTGGCAATCCATAACCACAAGAAGTGAAGTGCCAGTAAGGAAGATCACAATCCTGATAAGCAACTCAAGAGGCTTGTACTGGGAACAGCATGATTAACATTCGCCTATAAAATCCAATCACTGCACTTTACAGTATATCCAGTGAAATACTTTGAGACGTCCTCCTGACAGGAAGGGCGCTATATCAAATGCAAGGATTATTAATATTCTGACATAGCAAACACAGCAACATAAAGCTGTTAGCTTTGTTTTGCTTCTAAATCCACAAAAATTTTATCTGTTTTGTGAATCGCTTGACATATGTCATTCATTTCCCAAATGTATAATAGCAGTAACTGAGGACACTGCAGGGAGGAGTTTTTTCAGACAATTTAAATTTTTGTTTAAACTTGTTTTCATTAGGAGTCCTGATGACTCTTTAATTAAATTGAACAAATCGCTTTTTGAAGATACCCATTTCTTTTGTTCCCCAAACAATAAAACTTGTTATCATCAGGGAGTGGTTTTGGGAGCATGTTAGTCTGCTATGTAGCAATAAGTAATCTTGGTAGAAAAATGAGCTGGAACAATTTTTTTTTGAACCTTCATTAACAATTTAATTCTACTCCGCCACTACCTCAGGCCGCTAAAACTCTCGTTCATGCCTTCGTGAAAGGCGCTCTATAAATGCAATCTTGTTGTTGTTGTTCATCACCTCCAGGCTCAACTATGCAAACGCCCTGCTTGTCGGCCTTCCCAACTCCTCCCTCTATAGGCTGCAGATAATCCAGAACTCTGCAGCTCATGTCCTCTCCCACACTAAACTCCGTGACCCCATCTCCCCCACTCTCGCCCGACTTCATTGGCTCCCTATCCTTCAGAGGATCCAGTTCAAGATCCTGGTCTTCACCTACAAATCCCTCCATAGCCTCGCCCCACCCTACCTCTGCGACTTCCTAACCCCCTACCAGCCCGCCGGTTCCCTCCTCTCAGCCGGCTCTGGCGTGCTCCACGTCCCCTGACCCACCCACCCCACCATTGGTGGGAGAGCCTTCAGCCCCTCTGCCCCCAACCTCTGGAATTCCATCCCTAGTCACTCCGCCTCACCCCCTCCTTAACCTCCTTCAAGTCCTGCCTCAAGACCCTCCGCTTCGACCATGCCATTGGCCACCCCTTCCCCTCCTGACCCCAGCTCAGGTCTGAAATGCTATACTCTGTCCAGCGCCTTGGGACGTCCTCCCGACGTGAAAGGCACTGTACAAATGTAATCTTGATGTTATTAATTTCTTGAAATATTCTGTCTAGGACCATCAACTGTGACAGCCCAAAGCCCTGTGCCATGTGAACTTTGTATCCTTCATAGTGAACCTCCATACCGCGCTTAATATCAATGTTAACTTATTGTGAAGTGCAAGATCATTGAAATAGCCATCTTTTTGCATCAGTACATTTAATGGAAAAACTGAAGGGAATGGCCTTCTTGGGAGTAGAAATCATGTTGTTCTATGATGTCTAGTGTTTTCTTTAACATTTAGATTCTTCTTCGTGGAGTGTGTTTCAGCCTGATATTATAATTAATGCAAGTGAAGGTAAGCACTTTAAAACCTTATCTTGTGAGTTTATAGATTTGTTTCTGGATTTGAAGAGTCACTGAAATGCTTGGCAATTACTGTGCCAACATAACGTGTATCATTTTAAGGGGTTTTGATGATTCATGTACTGGAGTCGCTTGCTAAGGTATGACATTGTGGAGAGTACTGTTTAAATTTAGTGTTCCAGTACAGATTACCACAGGAAACGGATTGCAGATTTGTTTCCTTTTCTCTACCATCCTTGGATCTTCCAGGGTAAAATTGAAGAAATAGCAATGGTAGGGTGCTGGAAGGAGATGTTATGGGCCCTTTTGGCAGCAACATAGAGTCAAAGGCTCCAGATCTGGGGAAAATGAGGCATTCAAAGACACCATTGTCTTGATTGTCCTAACTCTAACCGGGATTTGAAGATTAACTAATTGGACAGTTATCTAAAAATGTCCCATCTCTCATCCAGCCTCAATGCTTCAGGAAAATCTTTACACAACAAAAATCTACTCAGCTCCAGTGCCTATGTCACACTTTTATATGTTTATATGACCTGCATATAAGTGTGGTATTATACTTGCAGTGAGTCAGTGAAATGGTTATTTGAATGAGTTTGTTCATTATGTGCACATTATTATGCTCTTCATTTGATTGAATCACTCGGGGTTCTGTTCAGGATATCTCTGGTGTCTTCAAGTAAAGTTACAGCCTATCGTGCACATGCTTCAAGACAAGGGACGGCTAATGGATTTCCTACTGCAGAGGAAAGACTGCAAAATGGTCATCTTGTCTGTGTGTTGCCAACGTAAGTACTGCATGGGTAACTAGTACTGTTTATGAGTTTGTTGAACGATTGCCTTTCTCATTGCAGGACAAGTTTAGGCTTTCATTTTTAAGAACTTCCAGTTTACTTTATTATTTTCCAAAACCCTAATATAGGAAGTCCATTTAGTAACTGATGTGGCTTTAAATTAAAAAGTTACTAATGAGCAATTGCTAACTTTCTAATAAACCCATTTATATCAGTGAATGCTCTATTGTGTAGGTGGCATTGCTAAACCTTTCTTGTCTACTTGCTAACATTGCAATAATTTTAATACAATGTGTTTGTTCCAGTTTTAAGTGCAACAGAGCGAGGTAGTTTGTCTGTCATTGCTACCATTTTTGACAAGCTCAATCAATTCTACAAAGAGTACTTGGAAGCTGAGCAGAACTATACACTGGTGAGACAACAACACAAAATTACATTTGCTCGTCCAGCGCACCCTCCGCCCCACCATCGGAGGTCGCGCTTTCAGCCACTAGGCCCCAAAACTCTGGAACATTCTCCTTATTCCCTCCGCCTTGCCCCCTCCTCTTCTTCAAATCCTGCCTGAAAACCTTCCTCTTCGACCGTGCTTACGGCTACCTCCCGCCCGGCTCAGAGTCAGACTCCACCACTTTTAAACGCTCTGTAACGCTACCCTGCATGAAGAGCGCTATATAAGTGCAAGTTGTTGTTGGAACAGTACAAGATAAAGAGGGACATCAGAGATGCTTTTTGCGCAATGCAAGAGACGTAGTGTCAGCAGCAACTTGATGACTTGGAAGTCATCCTTTTTTAGTTCTGGGTATACAACTGCACTTCTAGTTAGCATGGATTCACATTGGTGAACCCACATTTATTGTGTGTGCTTAATATTATCCCTCAATGTATTGGTTTGTAATGCAATGCAGTAATTGAGCAATCTCTCTTTTGTACAGGCTGTGGAGTCAGGAACAAGTCGAGGCAGTTCAGCACAGAAGCCAGTGCGGGCACAGGCTGTTATCGACCAATCTGACATGTATACTCATGTGTTGTCTGTTTTTACCAACCAGGTTAGCAGTGTACTTTTGTCAATAATGGGGAAAAAAAGGCTAAAATCATCATGGAATCCCTTTTTATCCCAGTGAAACAGCAAGGTAGTGTAGCATTGATTGCAGAAGGGAAGGTTTCTTAGTGGGGATATTCTGCAGCTATCCAGAATAATATGAGAAATAAACAACTGATTCTAGTGTTAAAGATTATGCTATTTGGCTTTGATATTTATCCCTCACATTTCTTCAGAAATCTACTGAATTGTAAGTTTTTATTTAAATATAGGATTGATATTTATTTTCAAAACTTGTTTGGTTTATCAATTCTGTCACATCTGCCCCACTTGAGAAACTGGCACTATTACCCAGACTCCATGTTATTTCCACACAATGTAGTGTTTTTGCTAAACACAACTTCTGTTTGGAGAAGTTTCACGAATACACGTGAGTATAATCAACTTGTGCCAATCACCAACTTTATGTGGTTATCCACTGAATAAGATTTTTCTAAGTAAATAGTCAATATTGGCTCACTGACATGCATCCCTTACAGTGCTGTCCTGTTGCAGGAAGAACTTCAGTAAATAGTTTCTTACATGGTGCATGTGACAATCAACTATGGTTGGAGGGAGGAAGGTTATCAGAATAGAATTTCTTAAAATAGAGGACAATGCAGAAATAAAGATCTAAATGGTAATATTGGCTTTGTCTTGATAATTCTTTTCAAGGGGTGAGAGGAAAGGAATCTGAAATGGGAAAGATGAGAAACAAAGGAACAGCAAAAGTATACAAGGCAATGTTGTAGCAATTTGAATTTTCTTAAGGCAGTACCTCTATGAAGTATGGTTGCCATTGTTATTAGTGTACCCAAATTTGTTTAGAGGAGTGGAACTGAACCCATCTATTCTGGTAATCAGTTAATTGAGGTTAAAGCCTGCAGGGAATCTTAAGAAGATTACAGAATACTGAGTAGAGATGATTCCAGGACTTAACTGCTGCAAGTCTAAGTCAGCTGAGTGATGTCCTGTGAGGGCCCATGTCCTTCCAATGATCAAGACGCACTTGTGAAATATAACTAGTTATTGCATAATGTGGCTTGCCAATCTAGTATTTTAAAGGATCACATTTTCCATTTGGATGTGTAACCTGCAAGCATAAAATATGAATACTCTCACCAGGAGTGCAGACTGAGTTGCAGCTGCAAGCATGAATTGAATGCAAGATTCATTTTGAAACCTTTACCTGAACAGTTCAATGCTCTAACACAGCTGTGTGATTGTTTTAACAGGATCTGCCTCACAAGTTTATCAGTGCAGTGCTAATGGAATACATTCGGTCTCTTAACCAATACCAGATAATAGTCCAGGTGAAAACTGCTCTTTATTTTAAAAGGTTTCTACATTCCGTATACTTTGAAGCTGTGTAATCAACAAAATGTCTGTTTTTGTTGCAGCATTACCTGTATGAGCTAGTTATCAAAACCCTCGTGCAGCACAGCTTATTCTACATGCTCCATCAGTTTCTGCAGTACCATGTCCTCAGTGACTCCAAACCATTGGTGAGATACCAAACTTTTACAAGTCTTACTGGCTGGAACACTTGCTCTATTGTTTATTGTAATAACTGAAGCAAATGCATGCAGATTTTGTAAATAGCAAATTCAACACATGAGATGGGCTTTCAATTTTGAACTTTTCCTACTCTTGTCTATTCAGTGTCATTCTTGAGGTGATGTATCATCCCAGATAGCCTAAACCTTTCACCTTAAAACAAAGCTCTTAGCCGCAACTCAACATCCCTGACTTCACTTCAGCTAACAGAGACACTACTAAATCTTGTTTAACCCTGACCTGCAGCCTTTCATCTGGTTGGTTCCCTCTCTCCAATCTGAAACAGGACCTGCAGTCATAACTACCTCACCCCCATTGCAGATGAAACCACCCACATTTGTGAAGCCTGGAGTTGTCTTTTTAGCTACAAACTTGCTTATCCAAAACTCTGCAGTACATTCCTTCCTACACAAGGCTCAGCAACCCATTCATCATCATCTCCAGCCCCCAGTAAATCTATGTTCCTCAACCTTACCTTAAATATTCCTCCACATCTAGTTACTTCACACTTCCTGCCTCACCATTAGCATGCAAACTTTCAGCCACTTACTACACTCAGGGACTGTCCTTGACCCTCCTCCCTCTCAAAACCCATCATTTTGCATCTTCAGCCACCTTGTTCCAGTTTGGGGTCCAATCAGTAGAAAATATTCTAGGTGAATTGCTATTTACATGCAAATAGTTTTGTTAAATCATTAAACACTTCCACGAATCAAATTTGAAGCCAAGCTGTGGAGTCCTGTAGCTCAGTGGTTAGAGCACTCGCCTTGCAAGCGAGACACCTGGGTTCAATTCCAGGCAGGGCTAGTTTCCTTACTCCACACGCCTAATAATACCTCCAAAAACAAAATAATAAATTGGTCATTTTCAATCCATGACTGTTTGTGGGACACTGCTGTGTGCAATTGGCTGCTGCATTTCATCCACAAATGTACAGTGAATTCACTGTACAGCATATTCTGTGAAGTGCTTTGAGACGTCAAGAAGACGTGAAAAGCACTATATCAAATACAAAGATTATTATTATATAAAACGGTTTTTACTTTTCAGGCCTGCCTGCTCCTGTCACTTGAGAGCACTTACCCTCCTGCACATCAACTGTGTCTGGATATGCTTAAGGTAAGGGCATGCTACTTGCATAAAAGTGCAGGCTTAACTGATTTAAATGTTCCAGAATGTGTTAAGAATAGTAAGGCTGCTTATTCTATGTATGTAGCACCTATGATTTCATTTACTCCAGAATTGTGGTTTTAGGGAACAGAGACCAAAGTAGTACTTTACTGCTGTGATTTAAATATTTTAATGTTTTACTAATCCAGAGACTGTCTACAGCCAATGATGAGATAGTGGAGGTTCTGCTGTCCAAGCACCAGGTTCTAGGTGCATTGAGGTTTATCCGAAGCGTCGGAGGGCACGACAACATCTCGGCACGCAAGTTCTTAGATGCAGCAAAGCAGACTGGCGATAATATGCTGTTTTATACTACCTTCAAATTTTTTGAACAAAGGAATCAGAGATTACGTGGAAGCCCAAACTTCACACCAGGTAAGTTAAAGCAGAAACAAAAATAGTTTTGAATCCATAAACTGATCCCATGTTAACAAGGCTTACAAAAAATGGCTACAGTTAGGATTCTGCTGATCACTTATATATGACTGTATGCAGAAAGTATTGCTGATCTCATTTTTGTGGACATGAAGCAGGTCATGCTTATCCATTAATAAAATTACAATAGACTGATTGGGGAGGAAGAAAGGAGAAACCGACCAGCACATAAAAGATCTACAGAAGGGAGACAATGACTAGATACAACAAGCCTCAACAACAACTTGCACCCTTCACGCAGGGTAGTGTCACGGCACGCTTAAATCTCAGATGTATTCAACCCTTTCTCTCACCAGAGCAAGGTACTGCCAAGACAGGCTCAGATCCCCCCCTAGACAAACTTTTGCATAACTGGTGTAAAGCTTACAATTCTAAAAATACTTACTAGATACAATACAAGTTCTGGAAGCCAAAGCTTTCAAGATATCACTAGTTGGATATAAACCAATCATACCAAAATAAGCAACTTTCAGATTCATGGCAACTGGATGCAGTATTGTTCAAGAAGCTTGTAATCTAGGGTTTGTTACTTCAGCTTTCTCCTCCCCCTCGCTTCCCATTAAAATATGCAACTTAAATCTGCATTGCTATCTTGCACCAGTTACTCATATCCACAAGCTCCACAACAGAATAGATTGAGAAAAGCACCGTATGCTTTCCACAACCAGACAAAGTACAATGTACATCTGGAAACATTGCTTTGAACTAAGTGTGATATTTTATTCCATTCCAGGAGAACACTGTGAAGAACATATTGACCATTTCAAAAGCCTGTTTGGGGAACAAGCACTTCTCAAAGCTATGGTTGTGTGAAAGGACATTGGGAGACTTCATCCAGAAGACAATGACTTTTGTCCATCAGATGTACAGTTGAAATCTAGAAACTTTATTAAATGCATTATAAAATGTTGTGTTATAAAATATTTATACAGTTGTAACATATTAAAATATGCATTAGTGTTAAACCCAGTGGTCTTCTTAACATTTCAGAACATCATTAACTGGAAAGTGCAAAGTTGCATTGCAGTTACACTAGGTTTGAAAGATCCATTCTTGGTGAGCATAGCGCCATTCAGGTTCTGAATAAAAAGCACTTCTTCCAATAGATTAGAAGCCCTTCTGAATTAAATAATTTTATTCCATCAAATACTCTACCTTAACTTAAATTTTCCTGAGTTTGAAAGCTGCGAACTTTCAGCAGTACGTTGGTGAAATGAAACAGTTCAGAAGCATTATTTCTATTCAGAGCTGCATGGCAACAATCCTGCCTCTTGATCCAGCAGCTCAGTTCATTGAATTAAAGCAGCTCGAGTTCATCGCGACTTTAACAGGTGCTGGCGTTCTGTTCCAGTGTACTGAATGCTTAATGCAGACACCTTGGCTTTATTTACAGGTGGTCCTGAAGAGAAAAAAAAGTTTTGGTAATTATGCAAATTCTAATACTTTGCAGCAGTTAGTGTTCCCCAGCATTATGCAATGTTCTGTTCCAAGCATGGTTAGTAAAGTTTGACTTTGAAAGGAAGGTTAAAACACCACAGGAAATTTTCAGAACAGGTCTTGGATAAAATGAGTATCTTGAAAACCTTCAAACACATATTCTTACCTATATAGCTAAGCAATACTGGAAGGAATATTAAGCCATGGGAAGCTCCCAACAGTACAATTGCCAAGTACATCCTGAAGTAGAAGATCTGGAAAATCTGGGATTTGGAGAAAGCCAGGACTACAATACCACCAAATTTGGTCAGTGTAATGCCACTGAATACCTGTGTGGAGGGCAAAAAAAGGTTCTTCAGATTAACACGAGATATTATACAAACCTTGAATTCTCTTCATACCTACTAGGTTAAAATCCAGTTTATCCACACATTATGTTTGCAACAATAAAAAGCTTGGAATCTAAAAGGTTAGATTTTAAAGGAAATGTGTTTTGGAAGGACAGAAGCTGAACTTAAGAGGCTGTAATGAGGAGTACTTCAAGTTGGAAGTAGTTACTAACAACACAAATCTGAAAACATTTAGGGATTATGATTCACCACCCAGTCCCTTAGTGAAACCAACTTAGAACCAATAGTCCTTTGGTAAATTCATGGCTTAAATGTAGGATCAAATGAAACTAAATCTTACCGAGCTGCCCATATGTGCCAGTGCTTCCTCTGCACGCTCCACTTTCGTTTTCTTCAAGCTAACTGAAAATGCACGGACAATATGGCTGCAGAACTCTACTGAAATTCCACAGCACTATGGGAGAAGAAAAAAATTGAATTAATGTTAACTTGAGGGTCTGTATAAAACATTTGTTCTGCTACCACCAATTAAGCTGAGAACTAAACACCATTGGATACAAATCCTAAGTGTTCTAACTCACTGCCACCCAGCACCTGCCTGTTCAGGTGGTCATTAAAGATCCCATGATAACATTTTTAAATGGTCATCAATTTCTCTAAAGTCTTCAGTATACCAGGACAGGTTGTACTCATTACTCAGCAAGGATTTTGACCAGCAGTGAAAGCAAGTACTTTAGCTTGAAATGGCTGGTTAGAATCAAGTGCATTAAGCTAATCCAACTGTATTATTACTGTTCTATTATCCACTACTGCGCCCTCCCCTCAAGCTTGCTTACAAAATACTGTCACTACACTTTACACAAGTCTCGTGAAGCATTTTGTCCTCCCATCATAAGTGGCACTACATCAGTTTAGGATTATTAATTCTGCTTAGCAGAACCAATACATACAGCATTTGTTGAGTATTACTATTAAATAACTTACCATGACTAGATTTACCAGGGAGACTGCATTCAGGCTAATGTTCCATAGCCACATGACACCAAACATATTCACGACGATCATAGAGATAGTGATGCACACAGTCACAGCGGACCAGACATCACAACCCAGCAGCACTGTAGTCACTACAAATATGGATCCCAGTGATACGCAGAGGTTGAAAATGGTGTCCTTGACTATGGTGAGGTATTGCTCATAGAATACATAAAATATACTGTGAATGAGAAATGGAACACTTAGTTAAACTATTCTCATTTCCTTACACTACAAACTTCCCACCTACCAAAGCAACACTCAATAGGTGGCCAGACATGGTTTATACTAATGATCACCACGACTAGTAAGGACAGAACACAGAACCCGTGATCTCACTTTGTGATCAGAGTGGACGTCTCAACCCCCTCAGTCATTTGGGTGCAGCCTTCAGAAAAAGCTGAAGAGATGGTCTGAGTAAATAGTTTTAATTTAAAATGAGTGTTCAATTATGAAAGATGGCTTTCTGCTCCCAAGCTAAAGTAATTCTAGTGTCCCATTACCTGTAAGCAAAAATACGATATCCTTTGTCTGAAATGCCCATGGATTCAGTCATATTTGCAGCCAGATCACGTGCCTTCTTTGCAGCATCAATGAAGTCTGTAGAAGTGGTCAGCACTGTATGATAAGTCATAAAGTACGTGGCACCAACACCTGTATTGTTCTCAATCAGATTTACTGCTGAACCATACGCTGCATGTCCACTGTTGACAAAGTTTTGAAATGAGCTTTTGACCAGATATTACATGCAAATTCCCTTTAGTCTCCTAGGTACAGAAACAGGATACTCTTGCTAAAAATGATAGACCAAGGATAAGCAAGCCTTATATTCTAGGTAACTGAACACTTAAAAAAGCTATTTTAAAAAGGGCATCAAGTTTAAACAATTGGCTCAAAAATAGTACCACAACTGAAGGTGGCTGTAACTGGTTGTAAGCATTAAGTTGGTCAGGGAGTTGAAATTTCAGATTTACTGTAGTGCCCTTACGCTACAATCATGACATTGTTGCCGTATCAGTAAAACTAATCAGCATTTGAATCTTTAAGATTAATAGTGCCTTACCCTTTGCCACATTTGGAATTTGGGTTATCATTCAGAAACATAGGGAGAAATGTCATGAAGTCTTCTCCAATTGGCCTCTGTTTTCCCTCAGGAGTCAGCGGACGGCAATGAACACAAGATTCATCAACCACTAGAAGACATTTGAAAAGTCAGTTTGTTCCCTGCAAAAAAAATTCTCAAATTTCTTATTGAGTTTAGAAACTCATGTTCTTATGACACTCACTCCAGAGTGAGACCCAGCATCTCACTTTGCATGCCTTTCGGAGACAAAATTCAAGGGCATTAGCCCTATTGTGGAGTTCTGTAGCTCAGTGGTTAGAGCACTTGCCTTGCAAGCGGGAGACCTGCGTTCGATTCCCAGCAGGTAAAACATTTTATAATAATAATAATCCTTGCATTTGATATAGCGCTTTTCACATCAGGAGGACGTCCCAAAGCGCTTCACAGAACACACTGTAAAGTGAATTGACTGTATATTTGTGGGCGAACGCGGCAGCCAATTGCGCACAGCAATGTCCCACAAACAGTCGTAGATTGAAAATGACCAATTTATTATTGTTTTTGGTTTTGGAGGGATTATTATTAGGCTCTGTGTGGAGTAAGGAAACTTGCCCAAGGTTTCGCCCTCTGCCTGGAATTGAACTCAGGTCTCTCGCTTCCAAAGCGAGTGCTCTAACCACTGAGCTACAGGACTCCAAAAAAGACAAATGTTGATCGTTACGAATCTTTACACATTTCCAACAATCCTAATATACCTTCATGAGATTTAGCCCTGATCAGGTAAAAATTAAAAATGAATTATAAACCGGATTTAAAAATTGTTTCAAATAGTTTGGAAAGTCTTAGTTTTCCTTTAGAGTTGTACAGCAGACCTTTTCACACTGAATTACTCGCAAGAGAATGCAACTTTGTAGAGTAGATTACTTCAGAAGAATCGATTATGGTTGCATTACTGCAAGTGCCAATTCTCTTGCAAAAATCTTCAAATACTTGCCCTGACATCATTAATGTAACTGAAATTGCTTTAATAATACCCCCAGTAGAATCATAGAAATTTACAGCATAGAAAGAGGCAATTTCGTCCACTGAGTCTGCTTCGGCTCTCAGAGCAAGCTGTACTTCCACATCCCCTTGAAGTCTCAAACCTCTAACCTGTCTACTTCCCTCTTGAAACCCACAATGGACTGTCTCCACAACCACAACAACAAGATTACATTTATAGAACGCCTTTCTACCACCTTATTTGGCAAACCATTCCACATGCCAACAACTCTGTGGAAAAACACAAGGTCACTGAATCAACCCCATGGTTTGAGCAAGTTTCCTTACTCCACACTCCTCAGTTTACCTAGCAGTAAGTAGGAACCTAGTTGTTCCTTCTAATAATTCCTTAAAAATTAATAAATTGGTCACTTGAATCCACAACTGTTATGGGACACTGCTGTGTGCAATTGGCTACCAAGTTTCACCCACAAAATACAGTCAATTCACTTTATAGTATATTCTGTGAAACACTTTGAGAGGTCCCAAAGATGATAATATGCTATATCAAATGCAAGGATTATTATCATAACTCCACCAATCTACAAGTCGCTGGTACTGGAGCTTCAATCACTACTGACTTCTCTCATTGAGATGGTGTAAACGTAAGGGTCAGTGCTGCTCCATGAACAGATATCCTCAATCAGGTATGTCATTCTCCAAGACTGATAGACGAAAAGATAGCTCAAGCAGTTGAGATTACCTGTTGCATTGCAGAACTCATGCCCAGAATTATTGTAGACTCTGCAACAGGTTGACTGAGGCTTTATCCAGTCAAAATAGTCATCAATCCAGGATGATGATGGAAAGCCAATTCTTGTACTGGGAGAAAAAAATATTAAAATTACATTAGTTTTTTTAACAATTTCTTCAAGATAGCTCAATATGGATTTTGAGAAAGTTGCTCTACATTTAGAGTAACAAATCTGCCCACTTGGGACAATACCCATCTTCGAAGCATATAATTGCATGCAGGCAGCTGTAATATCTTATGCCTGCAGATGCAAACCATCAGCTGCAAAAAGTTATTTTCCAATCACTGCTAACATTAGAAAGAAATGTTCAATATTCTGGGCAACTTGCTCTGAAGGTGACTGACTATCCAGGAAAGCACCAAGTCTTCTTCGTCTTGGTAAGACAATATAGACAAGTCTACATAGTTTATATGGACTTTCAAAAGGTATGTGACAAAGTGCCACATGAAAGACTTGTAAGAAAGATTGAAGCCAATGCTATAAAAGGGACAGTGGTAGCATGGATCCAGAACTGGCTGGGAGACAGAAAGCAGAGAGTTGTGGTGAACGGCTGCTTTTCTGACTGGAGGGAAGTGTACAGTGGCGTCCCCCAGGGATTGGTATTAGGACCACTGCTCTTCTTAATATACATAAATGATCTGGACTTGGGTATAGCAAGTACCATTTCCAAGTTTGCGGACGACACAAAGTTAGGTAGGGTAGTAAACAGTGAGAGGGACAGGAGCCAACTGCAGGAGGACATAGACAGAATGGTAAAATGGGCAGACACATGGCAGATGAGTTTCAATATGGAGAAATGCGAGGTAATGCATTTTGGTAGAAAGAATGAGGGGAGGCAGTATAGGTTTGGTAATAGAAAGACCTGGGGGTGCAGGTAAATGAAACTTTGAAGGTGGCAGGACAGGTAGATAAAGCTGTAAAAAGGGCATATGGGATACTAGACTTTATAAATAGGGGCATAGAGCACAAGAGTCGGGAGATTATGATTAACCTATATAAAACACTGGTTAGGCCTCAGTTAGAATACTGCACCCAGTTCTGGGCACCACACTATAGGAAGAATGCTAAGGGTGCAGAGGAGATTTACGAGGATGGTACCAGGAATGAGGGACTTTGATTATGAAGGCTAGAGAGGCTTGGATTATTCTCATTGGAGCAGAGAAGGTTACGAGGAGACCTAACAGAGGTCTTCAAAATCATGAGGGGATTTGATAGTTTTTCCCTTTCCAACCTGTTTCCACTGGTGGGTGTGTCAGTGACTCGAGGTCACAGATTCAAAATAGTATCTAAAAGCAGCAGAGGGGAGGTGAGAAGAAATTTTTTCACGCAGTGAGTTGTTCGAATCTGGAACACATTGCCTGAAAGGGTGGTGGAGGTCGATTCGATAACTTTTAAAAACGCGGCGGACGGGTATTTGAGGAGGATGGGTTTGCAGGGTTATGTGGAAAGGGTTGGGGAGTGGGATTGACATTAGTTGCTCTATTCAAAGAGCTGGCACAAACTCGATGGGCCGAATGGCCTCTTTCTGTGCTGTACGATTCTAAACCTCTGACATTGTAGTACACTGCCCCAGCTTGCTACACCATCTCCAATTAATTTCTTTATGGATAAAGTCTATTCATTCTATTGAGAATCCAGCAATGCAAAGTAGGAGTACATCATTGGTTTCCCACAACTAAATGTATCAAACAATATAAGCTATCGCCATGGAAATCCTCTACAGGATGCATTGGAATTTAGTGCAGGAGCAAAAAATAACTAAACACTTACTAGTTGTCGAGTTGTGAAGCAGAAAATATCTGTTGGACAAGGGAATTATTGTTGCAGCCAACTCCACCGCACACTGGGTTTTGACCTTCAATGGAAGTGTAGTTATGACCTTCTTCTATTACAAAGTAGACAGGAGGACCTGCATGAAGGTACTTGCCCATTGATTCAAAGTACTGTAGTACATATGAATCCTAAAGGAGAAGAGATAGAGCAAATCTGAAGATATTCAAGTGAACAGTCTATGCAAATTTACATTAATAGAACATCTTACATGTCAGAATGTCCCACGGTATTTAATCCTAACTTAGTACCTGAGGGAGGCATGGACTCGATATGCAGTCAAGACTAGGTTTTGAGATAGACCTTAAAATAAAGGGAAAGAGTCTAGGATAGAGATTCAGAACAGGAGCAGAAGGCTGGTCTATACTTACATCAGGCATTGAATATCTCTGGTCTAGCCCAATCTCAACTTTGTTCAACACTGCAATGCTGAAGGACAAGATCCCAACAAATAAAGACATCTATGAAAACAAAAGAGCTTAGTTTATTGCCAAGACTGCAGAAGCTTGCAACCAAATGATAAAAGGATTACATGACATGGATGTGGAATTTTTGGTTGAGATAAATTGGATGATTTAAGACAAATAATCACAACTGCTACATACCACAATGAGTCGCACCCAATCGTTCAATAAAAATGGTGCGTAGATATGCTTGAAAAATCTGAAGAGGAATCCATCTGAATGGTCTGTATTTATGCTTTTTTGTTTTGCACAACAAAAGATATCCAAGCGATTACTCTGCAAGACCAAAAGTAGCAAGTAGTAAGCTCATTCTGCAAGACTCTGCAAAGTAGTAGTAAGCTCAGAGTTCAATATGGACCCTTCAAAAAGTAGCTACTTACCTCTTGACGTTGGATGTCCAGACCAAAGAGACTTACAAAGCAGGTTATCTGAAGCAAGAAGTCAATGAATACAGCCATTCCTGCAAAGAGTGAAAATGTACGGACAGCTGGCATGGTGGATAAAGCACCTAAACAAAAAAAAAATACAATATTTGTCAACCTGGCTCTGTTGGTAACACTCTTGCCTCAAGTCAGAAGGTGGGTTCAGATTCCACGTGAGGACTTTGAACTCGATGTAGGTTGACACTACAATGCAGTGAGGTGGGAAACAAATAGAAAATCACACACTGCATTGTTGGAGATGCCATCCTTTTGAAGAAAAATTGACGTGGGTGCAAGTTATACAGCAACTATAATTAAATCTCAATGCTTACAAATTACTCTTTATTCTGGGTCTTTAAGTTGAGCAGTTATTGAATTAGAAAAATATACCATTAGCCATCATATCCAATGCTCCATTAAGAGTTATCAGGCATTAATTAGGCACTATAAGAACTAAAACAGCATTTCACTCAACCAAGTTAATATCTGATTCAAATTGTTGGTTTGAGTGTCTCCCAATCCATTCACTTTACATCAATTTTTATATATACACACACACACTTGAATTCCTCAGCAATTGTTTCCCACTAAAATTGGTTAAGTTACCAACTGGTCATTTACATTTCAAAGCATGGTTATTCTACTAGATACACACGCTCAAAGATTCTGAGATTATATTAAAAAATTACCTAGAAAGAAGGCCACAGTCTCTGAGAAGGATGACAGAAACATACTCGGAGCTACCTCACCCAGAACTCTCCCGATCTGTTGGTGGATTTCTTCATTTTGCAGACGTTCATCTCTCTAGGGTGAGGAGTTAAAAAAAGTTTAGTTAGCTGGACGTCTGACACGTGGAAACCCATTATCATGTTTAAAAGCATCCAAACCAGAGAGTTCCACATATTAATGCCAGCTACATATGGAAATCTATGTCTGGAATAGAATGTACACTGATCCCCTGATGGATACCACCTGCTTAGCAAGAACCAAAGCTTGGAGAACATTCTTCGCTTTGGAGTACTGTTGGGAGCTTCAACCAACTAAAACAGTTAAGCAAGCTTCCCAAATATAGATCAGGAACATAGTTCAAAAATTGGACAAGTTCATATACTGAAGAGCAACCAATACCTTAATATTATTATACCTGAAATGTCTGAACTATAATGAAGATGTTGTCCACACCGACTGCCAACACCAAAAATGGGATGACCTCAATAACTATTAGTGTGAGGGAAATGCCAGCATAGCTGAAGATTCCTAATGAGCAGGCCACTGAGCTCAGGACAATAAAGATACCAGCAACACCCAGAGAGATTTTTGAGTCCACCTACAAGAAATCAAAAAGGGTAAGAAAGGGTTTATCCAACAATGAGCTTGCAAAATTCTAGTTCACAAGTTTATAGTTAAACAGGCCTTTTAATTTCATTACTTTGCAATGTTTATCACTAGGACATCCAAGTTATGCTGAGACGGGTAAAAGCATATATATATATATACATACATACACACACACATAGAGAGAGAGAAACCATCATTGTTACCAATCATTTGACGGTATAAATCAGCCCCCAGCTCGGGTTCAAATCCTTGACTGTCCAGTGCCTCGGTACGTCTTCCTGACGTGAAAGGCGCTATACAAATATAATTTGTTGTTGAGAATGATCAGATGATACGGGCAATAGTTGTATTATGCTACTGTTTTGCCGTTGATTTAGACTGAAGCCCTAAGTGGATTAAGTTTACATTTTGGAATACAATTGCACTCCAATAGCAAATCCGGAACATGGGGAAGGCAGAAGAAAGCACATTTATAAATGCAGATCCCAATCTAGGATTGCAGCACTATACAACAGCATTACATTTGTATAGCGCCTTTAAAGTTGGGAGGACGTCCCAAGGCACTATAATCCTCTCTGTACCCATTCCACATGTCAATTTCCATTTTTCACCCCTTAGTTTGTTGGCCCTCATCTTTGGCAAGTCAGTGACCAAATACACTCAATAAAGGATTCATTTTGTATCATATTAAAGACTGAAGTAATCTCATCCAAATTATTCAGAGCCTCAAGAATGCTAGTGCACTCCAACATAATGCTGGTATCTTACTAGTGAATATACTAGAATAATTAAGCCATGTACTAAGTAGTCATGAACATACAAGTACATACCAGAAAACTCTGAACACTCCTGATGTGCCCCAAAGCAATCGAGATGTAAACGAACATGATTGCATAGCTAATGAGAATTGTGGAGACGTCACTGTTGCTTTCACGATTTATTTCGTCCTCAATGCTTCGCTCAGTTGAGAAGGAAATGGATAGGTTGGAGTTGCCATAATTCTTAATAAATGCAATAAGTCTACAAGACAATATGCCAAATAGGAGTTAAGATTGCTGCATAAATCTAGATTTAAGATTTTGTTAAATTTGAAAGTTCTGGCAACACAAAGCAGAATGCTCAAAGATAAAATACTTACACTTTTTCCCATGCCAAAGCTTTGTTCAGTTTCTCAGTGTCATTGTAGTAATTATTCACAGGAAATGTTACTACTAATGCTGTTGCATTATTGTAGTTATCGTCTAGAGTCAAAAAGGGTTCAAGTTAATATTAGTTAGTAATGCATATTCATGCCAGAGAAGTACAATCCAAACAAGTCACTGAACAGTCAGATTTTAGGGGTTCAAATGAAATTCAGACATTGTGGCACACAAATATTCAGATGTACGTAAACATGGGATGCTTATGAAAAATTGCAATGCGGGTCCCTTGTTGGATTAGTAGGCTGGTTATTAACTCCTTCCCTTCTCCAAGCCAAGACTAAGTGTAGGATTTTAAAAAACTTGGGACTGAAATGGATAGGTTGTGGTTATTATAATTCTTGTGTCTTAGCCTCCCTTCTCCTCCGAAGAGAAAAAAATCCTTGCAATTGATCCAACACCTTTCAGGTCAGGATAAAATCTCAAGTCACTTCACAGAACAGGCTGAAAAGTGTAGGGGATTGTCACACCTAGGTTTAACAAGGTTATTTAACTGCACTTACTGTCATATCCTCCTAGCACCAGCCATGGAAAGATAGGTCCACCATAAGTGCCCAAACAAGAATCATGTAGCATGGTTGTATCATTAAGTGAAAATGGAGCTCTGTTAAAAGAAGAACACTAGTTATATTGACAGGATCAGCAAGCACACCTTTGTTTATTAATTCACCCACAAAGTAAATTCTGACTATTCTTAAGGTTTGAAATTGGGGGGACATTATCCAGGATTTACTGTACCATGAATGAAGAACATCCAAGTCACTTTGTAAAAGGGGACTAAAATATGGCAAGCTTCAGTTCAATGTCATTCAATTGGCAGTGTTCTTAGTCAGCATCATAGCAAGGATACTTTATCCAGGAGTGTGCAAATCACAATGAAGCCAAATACTTTACAGAAAGCCTGCCCACAGCTTCTGGAAGTTAGTTTTAGCATGTGTGAGCATCAGCAAGTTTGACTTTTTACAAAANCGGGTTAAACTAGAGGGACAAAGATTACCAGGTGCAGTTCAAACTCTGGTAAATGACGATTCAGAGTGGAAACCGAGCTCAGGCATCCAAGCAGAGATAGTGATGTAGTACTGTCAGTGCAGGATTTCCAAGGCTCACTTATGGGAATGTTAAACTATGTGCACTCTAATATGCATTTATACAACACCTCAAGCTGGTTGATGGAGGGCTCAACAGGGGCGTGGTCAAATGCCAAGCAAGGGAAGACTTACATGATTGTGGGGGTGGTTGAAGAGGTAAGTTATAAAGGCAAGATTCAAAGACAAGGAGAAGAAATTAATAAGTCTCAATGGGTGGGTGGAGTTCAAAGCTTGGCTGCTATGCTATTGGTTGGGGTTGGGAGGTGCAGCAGGTCAGCATTTGCCAAGGAGGGGTTGAAAATAATCAGTTTGAAAGGATTATAGGAAGGAGGGGCAGAGAAAGAGCAGGAATGAAGGCATCCAATTGAGGTCTTCAGCAGAAGTCAATCTCAACTGCATTCAAGCCAAGTCCCAGGGATGAGAAAATTCAGTCTCCTGAAAAGACTCTCCCACACAATAAAAAAAAGCTGGGCAGTGGGTCACTTACTTAGTGCAGTACAGAAAGTGGGTATGATAATCAGCAAACACGTAGAACTCATCACCAACAGAATGATTAAGGACATCATGACTGTTCTGGTAGTAGTTTAGCACACTCAAGATGGTACAGTTGTTGTTATATGGAGCCAGAGGAGCCAAACAGATATCCTTTAACATCACAGTTTCATTTTGGTATTCTGCTTTCAGATTTTCAATTTCATTTTGCAAGTCCAACACCTAAAACCAATAAACACCCAGTTATAGCACCTCTCAATAGAGCTCTACCTTGCTCATAGCAGGTCTGTAAACCTGTGCTGACCACTACTTATCAGATGGCTTCCCACCCTACAAAAAAAAAGTTCCAATTGTTATATTACTACTGACAACTGCACAGGAAGTGGCAGTGTCACTTCCAGACTTGGGGCAGGTTAAGAATGGGTTTCCTTGTAGCTAAATGGCTCCAATAAATAATCCTTGCATTTGATTTAACGCTTTTCATGTCTGAGACATCTCAAAGCTCTTCACAGAATGTACTGTAAAGTGAATTGACTGTATATTTGTGGGTGAAATCCAGCTGTCAATTTCACCCAGCAGTGTCCCACAAACAGTTGTGGACTGAGTGACCAAATTTTTTATTTTTTTTTCTTTTTGACGGATTATTGTGGAGTCCTGTAGCTCGGTGGTTAAAGCACTCGCTTTGCAAGTGAGACACCCGAGTTCAATTCCAGGAAGGGCGAAACCTTGGGCAAGTTTCCTTACTCCACACGCCTAATAATAATCCCTCCAAAACCAAAAACAATAATAAATTGGTCATTTTCAATCTACAACTGTTTATAATAATAATAATAATAATCCTTGCATTTGATATAGCGCTTTTCACGTCGGGAGGACGTCCCAAAGCGCTTCACAGAATATACTGTAAAGTGAATTGACTGTATATTTGTGGGCGAACGCGGCAGCCAATTGCACACAGCAGTGTCCCACAAACAGTTGTGGATTGAAAATGACCAATTTATTATTGTTTTTTGGGTTTTTGGAGGGATTATTATTAGGCGTGTGGAGTAAGGAAACTTGCCCAAGGTCTCGCCCTGCCTGGAATTGAACTCAGGTCTCTCGCTTGCAAAGCGAGTGCTCTAACCAGAGCTACAGGACTCCACAATGTTTGTGGGACATTGCTGTGCGCAATTGGCTGCCGCGCTTGCCCACAAATATACAGTCAATTCACTTTACAGTGTGTTCTGTGAAGCGCTTTGGGACGTCCTCCCGACGTGAAAAGCGCTATATCAAATGCAAGGATTATTATTATTATTATTAGGCTTGTGGAGTATGGAAACTTGCCCAAGGTTTCGCTCTGCCAGGAATCAAACCCAGATCTCTCGCTTGCGAGACAAGTGCTCTAACCACTGAGCTACAGGACTCCAATAGGACTTTTGGCAACAGTGTCAGAATAGTTAGTCCTCTGATGGTTTGAGTCCAATTCAGTCAGGCAGGTCTCTAGTACCCCAGGGCCCTGATAGATCAGCCAGCCTAACTCAATACAGGAGTGGCATGAATTCTTCCCATTTAGCTTCTGTTAATCCTGTAAACTAAACCCAAATGGGTAGGGCAGTCAGAGTCGGACAGGCAGCAGAAAGTGGAGATACGTATCTGCACGTGACTGGCCAGTCATTTCCTGCATGAGATGATGTCAATAGCACTGCATATAGCAAGAGACTTCAGCCTGACAACACAGGAATCAGCCATTTCCCTGTTCCCCCCACCACACTCTGTTTCATGGTGGCCATGGCATCGGAGCCAGTCAATTAAATTACAACATACAATAGATTACACATCATTGTGGTAAGAGTAGTATTCAAGATTAGTTAGTCACAATTCTAAGTATTTCCTCTCACACATACACACCTAGTGATCAGTAAACTATAAATATAACAAACCTGATCAAGGATATCCTTGGCTAAAGGAGGCCCAAATAATATGTCTGAACCAGATGGATAAGGTGAGTAAAGGGTTGCTGATCTGTTTGGGGCTGTAATAATCAACTGCTCAGTGCGAAAGAAGGGTCCAAAATGCGAGTCAAAGTAATGCTTCTCTTTGCGGGCCTCACTGGAAGGAGCAGACCAGAGTTCTACAGGATCAGTCGTTATCTTTAGGTATAGCAAGCCTGACGAGCAAATGGATACTGCTACAAGTGATAAGACAATGACTGGAGCTGGGTGTCGCACACAGAAAGAGCCCCAGTTTGTGAATAAACGACGCAGAAGTGCCTCAGACCTTGCACCTAGCCGGTCACAACAGGTTATCTTATCTGTGGAGGACAAAAGTTAATATATTGAAACATGCAAATTAATTTGTTCCATGACCCTCCATCCCTTCTTTCTCTTATTGTCTGAGTTAAGTCCTGAAGCTCAGTGGTTAGAGCACTCGCCTCACAAGCAAGACGTGGGTTTGATTCCCCCCAGGGCAAAACCTTGGGCAAGTTTCCTTACTCCACATGCCTGATAATAATCTCAAGAAAAAAATAATAATTTGGTCACTCAATCCAAGACTGTTTGTGGGACACTGCTGTGCGCAATTGGCTGCCGTGTTTCACCCAGAAAAATGCAGTCAATTCACTTTACAGTATATTCTGTGAAGTGCTTTGAGATGTTCAGAAAACATGAAAAGCGCTATATCAAATGCAAGGATTATTATTCAATTATATATAAGGATTATGAATAATGCAAAAAAATTGAGGAGTTTCTTCAAGGTAAAAAGCAGTTACAAAAGTATCATATTGAAATACTTAATCTTTGCATTGGGCCTCATTATGTCTTTGAAATAATAATCCTTGCATCTAATATAGCACCTTATTACATCTTCAAGTCTCAAAGCACTTCACAGAATATTCTGTTAAGTGAACTGACTGCATATTTCGCAAATGAAACTCGGCAGCCAATTAGGCACAACAATGTCCCCACAAACAGTCGTGGGTTCAGCAATTTTGGGTTGTGAATTTATTTATTTTTATAAAAGGGATTATCCCTGGAAAGTGATCCAAGAAATATAATAATAATAATAATCCTTGCATTTGATATAGCGCTTTTCACGTCGGGAGGACGTCCCAAAGCGCTTCACAGAACACACTGTAAAGTGAATTGACTGTATATTTGTGGGCGAACGTGGCAGCCAATTGCGCACAGCAATGTCCCACAAACAGTCGTAGATTGAAAATGACCAATTTAATTATTGTTTTGGGTTTTGGAGGGATTATTATTAGGCGTGTGGAGTAAGGAAACTTGCCCAAGGTTTCGCCCTGCCTGGAATTGAACTCAGGTCTCTCACTTGCAAAGCGAGTGCTCTAACCACTGAGCTACAGGACTCCACAATGACTAACAACCTACTTACTACTAGGTAAACAGAGGCATGTGGAGTAAGAAAGCTTGCCTAAAGTTTCACCCTGCCCTTGGATTCTGCAATCACACTGCAGCAATCAAATCAGCCTACCTGAGTCATGACTGAAGTTAATTGAAAGAGCTCCACTGGTGCCAATAATTGGTGCATATTCAGAGGCAACACTCATCTTCCTACACAGAAAAACAGTGCAGCAGTTATATCTCTAGCATTTTGTTCAAGATTGTTTTCATTTACACTGACCATTTATAAAATGGTATTGTCAATGGAGAATACAAAGCTTATATCCATTTAAAAAACACTGCACAAGTGAAATTTCAAAGTTATAAATGTATACTCCAGTAGCTTAGCTTATGATTTTAAAAAGGGACAGAACTGATGCAAATCCATATGGTCCTTTTGTTATTAAGTGCAACACAAATGTAGAGAAAAATGTTTGTGCCAGTTTAGTTGGATGCCCCATTAAGTGATTTTGTTCAATTGATTTACACTATTGAGTTGCACTGAAATCTTAAATGCATTGTAGCTACTTCCTTCCCTGCAATACTTAGATAAGTATTTGGTTACCTGTAACACCACATGCCAAGAGCTCCTCCTGCAAGGAGTATGATAAATGCTGAATAGGAGAAGCACATTATAAGAACCATCGCGTCCAAACCAAAGATGGTCCATGGAACAGCAGGTGGTGGAGGGACTGGCTTTGGTCCGCAAACCAGTGAACAGTCCTGGCAACTGCATGCATCAGATCCATCATCCAGAGATTCATTGCAACCTTTTGTCTCGTTATTCATAGGGAGCATTCTTCCAATACGATTATCTATCAAGAGAAAGAAACTCACTAGTACTGCAAAAGAGGTCAATATCAAAAAATGAAAGCCTGATGCTCCTGGATCTTACCAGAGAAGATTGGAATAATATTGAAAGGAGTCTGAGCATTGCTTGTGCTGCACATGTACTGAATCCAATTGGTTGCATTGCAGTCTTTCGCATCTTTCCCACAAAGCAGCCCCAGAGCTTTTTCATTACTTGACGGAGAAAGAACATCTTTGCAGGCGTTAAACATGGCTGAAAAAAAATGCAAGATTCATCAGATTAGTTATATTCAGGTCAAAGGTAAAAATTTGATCTTTCCAAAATTACACATCAGAGAATGGAAGTCACAAAATTGAGCCCTTCCACATGGACATAAGAGTTCATAACCCAGTTAGTTAACAATTATTTAAGAGGAATCTTTTGATCTTAAACCAGCATGCGGAGATGACATGGACTGCATCATTCCAAGAGGTCTCTTAGCTCTTAATGTCAGACACACTGAGGGGGAAGGTGTAGGTCCATGCCTCAGCTGCAGTTGGTATGTGTGAAGTATGAAAATAATTCACTTTGTGAGATTTAGTTAAATTTATTTAAAAAAATGAATAGAAATTAGGCTAAGCAGGAGAGATGTCTACTCTCAACTGAGTTGCCAAACAGCAGGTTAAGTGTTTCACAAATGTGGAAACTCTGGGTTTGATCCCTGGCTAGGCCAAGTTAATATCAAGCTAAGTGTAATTTGAGCAACCACAAGCTGAAGTGGAAACTGTCACATGTGGGTAGACTCAAGCTACTAAAATATTGTCTAGGTTCTGTCTGACACGTGCAGAAACCCATCACCATGTTTTAGGGTATCCAAACCAGCCAAAAATTCCATGCATCCCACCTACACCAAGTATTGCAGGTTTCAGCAAACGCATTCACAACTGTCATAGTCCAAGTCACACTTTAGCAAGTACAATTAGGCTGATGGGCTTTGCCAACTTACACTTTAAATGTTAGAACAATGCAATTTTAGGACTCATACCAACATTTTTGTAAGCAAATGTTTACAAAAGATCTAATTGTCCAAATCCTGAGAAAGCTATAAATTTTACCATTTGTGAAACTTGAACCAATGTAGTATTGCACCTCAGTGATGCTGGTTTTGTTCTCGGTGTACCGTTGAAATTTAGTGGCATTGAGAAACAAATTCTGATAAGGACTGCAAGTGAGCTCACAATAGAAAGTCATGAAGTTGTGGAAACAGGATGGACATCTGCAAGACAAATAGTCAATAGGTCAGTCATTTGTGGTAATCTCCAGGTCACAGCATTATTCTGATAAATGCCAGATGGAATACAATTTGCCAAGGGTTGGGGAGCCCTTCCATCCTTTAGTTGGTTCCAAGGATCAGTTATTGTTCACTTCCATCTCATGAAGAATCTATAGCATCGTCAGCCTGCTACCAAGAGGTTATCATCCCTGAGGAACATTCCAGTTGTGGAGTCCCGTAGTGTTGTGGTTAGCACTTTCACCTCACAGGCGAGAGGACCCAGGGTTGATTCCTGGTCGGGGTGAAACTCGAGGCACGTTTCCTTACTCCACAAGCCTCAGTTTACCTAGCAGTAAGTTGGACCACATGATTTTTCCAGTTTTTTTTAAAAATTAGAAATGTCAAATGCTGCCATGTGCTCTTGAAGCTTCCTAAGGTAGTAAGTGTTTTTAAAAAAACTAAAGGAGAATCCGCCATACAATGTTATGTAGCAATTCTTTGACCCAGAATGGAAGAAATCATGGTTCAAGCTTTGTAATTATCTGATTATGGCAGTTAACAAATCTAGTTATTCAGATGCCCCCATATACAAAGGGCCGAAAAGGATAATTTGTGGAAGAGGAAAAAAGTAACATACCTGGACAGGAATTGAAATGGTAGCTGCATGTTATCCTTAAGTGTCTGGAGTTGGTGAACATCACAACAGAGATTAACATTTCCATAGAAATAATTGGGGCACAATTCCTAGATGGGAGAAAGCATTTTAATTGTCAAAAGTGTTTTGAGTATGTGTATATATATAAAAATTACTACAAAAGAAAATTTGGGGAAATAAGGCTACACATTACAGCAATAAAATTAGTAACTTCACAAGTGTGACAAGGTTTACATATCAACAAGTATTCAGAATTGTGTTATCTTTATGGTAAATTTTGACAGGTTCAAGTGTTAGCAACACTGTACTGCCTGACCAACTTTAGTCATATGCAAGGAAGGCCAAGGTTTCAGTCATAAAGTCAGCTTAAAAAAACCTAAACTAGCATTATGATTATCTATTCCCATTTCATTCCCTTTTTTAAAAAAAAGCCTGCAAACCTAAAATCTAATCTGTTATGCTTCAAGTATCAAGCAAGTCCCAGGACAGACTAAGTGGAAAGATTATTGTTGCATCACTCCCCACCCACACCAGTTACTCATTGAGGATTCACCCATTAATCTAGTCAAGGCTTTATATCCCATGACAAGTATGAATCTGCTTACCTGGAGTAAGTCATATCCTTTTTTGGGCAGTGGTATTGGTTTCCCATCATATTTACAGTTGTACTTCTTTTGAGTTGCCTCATCTGTTCCACATTCACCATACCAAACACAAGTTTCATTTTGTGCTAATACCTAAAAAAAAAGCTTGAGTTAATGCAATCATTTTCTCCTCCCCGAATGCATTCTGTACCAAGAACAGTGTCAGAAGATGTTCTCTAGCACCTCATTTGAGTGGGCATTGAGACAGGTTACATGCAGCACAAGTGATGCACATTGTTTCTCAGCCAACATCTTGCTGCAAGAGGTGGAAAAAGAGGGAAACAAAAGATACCATGATACCAATCTGGCACCTGCACTTATTGTAGTGGGCAGTCGATGGTCTAACTTGAGCCAAGAGCCTGATAACACACCATCCCCCACACCCCGTTACCATCTGACAAGTACAGGTTTGAGTCCTCACTAGGTATAGCACACCACCAACAACAACTTGCATTTATATAGCGCCCTCCAACAAAGGGTAGCAATGCATCAGCAGTTATGTTTTTAGAAGAAAGATGGACAACTGTAAGTGCTAGCCTTCAGTCAACTCGCAACCAGCTCACAAGAAGTTAGTTAATGGTGTCAGCAGAACCCTTATGCAACAAGCCGATAGCAATATATAGCAGGGCTTAAATAGTTAAAAACCTCAAGGCTTAAAAAGACAAATACTGCTCTAAAGCTCCCACCACTGAAAATCTCCATTAAAATGACATCTGAGAAAGTCAACAAATTAAAATAATTTCTTCCCTCTCAAGTTTTGCATGATTCTGTAAAATTATCACAAAGCTCAACTAGAAACAATGAATACAGGAGAGGCTTAGAAAACTTGTTTACTCCACTGGAGTAGGCATGTGACTTAGTTCTGCAATAAGCACTTCTATTCACTGCAGAGGCAGCATTGAAATTCAGAATGCTGTAACCAAAAAAAGTGCTCTCCCACATGCTGTGCAGTCCACTTAACCAGTATCTTCCTACTGTGGTAGTTAGAGAAGCATGAACCATACTACCTTCCTTATGAAGGTCTCCAAGTGCTTGGTAACTGAACCTCAGTCTTCTAGTTAGACTTGAGGTCTCCACTGTATTGTGCTTGATGTTGGTAGTCTTCGAAATATTTGCAATACTACAATATGTACCTTTGACCATGCTTTTGGTCATCCTTCCCCGCTCCACTCCTTGGCTCCCAAACCCCATCTCAGCTGCCCAGCAAGCAGTGTCAAGCACTTTTGAGATTTCCTCCCAACACAAAAGGTTCAATACAAAGGTAATTGATATTTTACATAACTTTCCTTTGAGCTGTGAGATGAGCATCAGATGCACCTAAACCAAAATACAAGTTTATTCCCAAATTACTGAGGTACTCGTGTTATAGAAATGTCATAGCTGCTGCAGATTAGCTGTTGTATCTTTTGTTTGGCAAGATGTTGCAAGAGACCTTATGTGAAAGGCTTTGAGAAGCCACGGGTAATGTTTACCCTCACACACTTCACGCTGAGCTGCTCACTGTGAAGCTCACAGGGAGTTCCTGGTAGGATATTGCTATCCACCTAGCAAGAGCTCAAATTTGCATATGTTGGTCATTGATCAATCCAAGAACAACAACAACATTACATTTGTACAGCGCCTTTCACGTCGGGAGGACATCCCAAGGCGCTGGACAGAGTACAGCATTTCAGACCCGAGCTGGGGTTGCGGGGGTAAGGGAGGAGAGGGGAAGGAGGGTGGCCGATGTCATGGTCGAAGAGGAGTCTTGAGGCGGGACTTGAAGGAGGCGAGGCGAAGTGACTGGGGGATAGAATTCCAGAGGTTGGGGGCAGAGGGGCTGAAGGCTCTCCCGTCAATGGTGGGGCAGGAGAGCCTTCAACTCACGACTATCTGTTCAAGTCTAATCTCATTTACAAAAAGACCTGTCCAAAGTTAATAATTGTGTGCTGCTGAGGTTTTGTGGGGGAAGGGAGATAAACAGAACACTCTGCATCCACCCAGCTCAGCAGACTAGGATCAGGTGGATAAGGGTAGATGAAGGAATGAACAGGTGATACAGGTTAACAGCTAATCGTCTCCAGAACAATGTCTGCATACCTTGGTGGAAGTCAAAACTAATCATTTGGAGAATCGTGCGTAGAGCTCTACCATTTCTACTAAATTGACTGACTACAACTCAGCACCAGCTCCATAAGAAAACTGCATTCCTCAAGAGAGAGTGCATTAAAATGAAGAAAGTTTGGAGTCATCAGTTTTCATTTTGTACAATAAAACAGGTCTACCCCACCCCATGCCTTGTGGGCAAATCGTGAATTTGTGTACAGTATACAGTAATTTGTATGAAGTGCTTGAGACTTCCTCCCTTATATGAAATGCAAGGATTAAATATAATTTAAGGAGTAAAGATTTTTCAAACCTGCAAACTATGAAAATTAAGGGGATTCACTAACTGTGGCAATTGGGTAGATATAATAACTGAACATCCAATATGATTAACACCTTTGTGAGGTAGTATAAAAAGGGCATCTCAAGTGTCCGTTTTAAAGAATTATCATATTGAGCTCTAAAGACAAGTAAAAAAAACTTGACCAGCAGTACATTGTGCAGGCCTTTCAGTTCATAGCAGCACTGCATATCAAGGAGTTAAATTAATCTTCCTTAGCAATAATTTCTACTTTAAGAAAAATACAACTTCATCCACAGAGAAACTGTCAAAAAATTGCAGGCGGTTCTGGACAACAGGTTTCGGTCATTGCATATCAACAATACCTTAGTCGTCTAATTTCTCCTTTAGAAAAGGCTTTGCAAACCCAACAAGACAGTGTCAGATTGAACAGTCAAGGCCCTAGCTGGAATATGCTAATAATGTGACTTGTTTAGTCACAAGCAAACACACAGCCAGCCTTGATACACAGTGCACAGGGGCCAGCACCAGTATTAGATTGAACAGTCAAACAGTCAAGATCTTATCTGGAATATGCTAATAAAGGGTTGGTTTTAGTCACAAGCAATCACACAGCCAACCTTTATACACAGTGCACTGGGGTCAGCACCAGTTGTGGTTGGGGGAAGGTGGAAAAAAGGCAAAAGGGTATAAGTCATAGTCAGTTAGTGAGTGAATCACAAGACAAGAGGAACAAACCCACACTGGCAGAACACATGCAGTTTAAGTTCTACAGGAGTGTTTTGCCTCCACTTTCTTCCCCCCAAATAGTGGCTTCTGCTCAACACCAATAGTGACACCCCTTCCCCAGTAAAAACTACATTCATATAGCACCTTTCATGAAAGTGAGGAAGGGAATCCAGGATAGAGTTCTAGGATATAGTGGGGGCAGAATGCTGAAAGCCTGCCTATGTTGTGGCGGATGGGGACATGAGGCGTTCACGTAGCAAAGGAAGCAGCCAGGATGGTGGTTGGAGTAGGTTGAAGAGACGGGTGAAGAGAGATTTGAATGTAAGAATGAGGATCTTAAACTCACTCCATTGAAGCTGGAAGGGAAAAGCTCCTCAGAGCTTAGTGCAGGAAAATATATAACAACAAAATTACATTTGTACGGCACCTTTCACATTGGGAGGTCATCCCAAAGCGCTGGACAACCAGTGTTTCAGACCCGAGCTAGAGGTCAGGATCAGGGAGGGCGGTGGGTTGGGGGGGGGGGGGGAGAAAGGAGGGTGATCGAAGGCACACTCGAAGAGACGGATCTTGAAGGAAACAAGGGAGAGGGCTGCAGAGTTCTGGACCTGCCCATCAATAATGCCCCCCAGCAAGTCAATAAATAGTGAAATGATCTAATTTGATCTGCCCTTACAAAGAGGGAGCAAGAATGCTGGAACTCGGAGCTCACTTGAGCACTTGGTCACTTAGGTTCAGGCCGGGCTTGCCCTGCAGGAGAAGCAATCTGTTCATTTGACTTGCTCAGGTGGTCACGAAGACACGGTTCAGGTCCACATTGTCCTTAGGACAATTTGGGGGCTAGAATAGTTGATGGGGGTGGGGGGGGAGGAAATAGAGCTTGTCTGCGGGGACAAACCTCGTTCCCAAGGTGGAAGTTTTGGTCTAATTCGGTTAATGGGGGGTGAGAAGGCCTAACCTCGCTCACCAATAAAAAAAAGTGAAATGATTAAGGTGTCAGCCTGGCTCAAATGGTAGCGCTCTCTTCCAAGAGAAAGGTTGTGGGCTCAAGTCACCACAGACAGGACTTTGAGCTTAGTCCAGGCTGACACTCCAGTGCAATGCTGGGCTCGGCACGTGTCCTGCCAACAGCCCACTAAATTAAATTAGTCATTCCCTGCGTGGTTGAACGCGACACGTTGATCGCCGTGTGCTAATGGTTGCCACGTTCACCTACAAAATAGCCACTCCACTCGACAGCATTACCCGCGAAGTGCTTCGAGGCGTCTCACTGACCGTACAATACCCGTATAAGCCCCCGTAAACGTCGGGAGGATACCCCCCCACCTCCAGGCGATAAGACAGGTCAGGGCTTCGGATAAGGCACTAAATCAAACGCAAGCATTAAAGAAGTGACGCAATCAACTGACACTCCCCAGGGCAACCGCGTCAGGTCAATTGTCTCGCCCACAAAACATCCGGTCAATTCACTTTACAGTGTATCCCGAGGAGCGCTTTGAGACGTCTAAGAAGGCGTGACAATATTATTATTATTATTATTATTATTTACAGTGTCGTGCACGAGAGCTCCCAACCCAGACCGACCAATACAGTGACCCCCCCTCCCCGGGTCAATACCTCGCTGCCGGGTGACACGGCGGTGTCCTGTGGGGACAGTCTAGAAGTTTCCACCCGCGGGCGGGACAGTTAGAGCCGGGCCTAGTCCCCCCGCCACAGCCTCGGCCTCCCCGCCCACACACAGGGGCCTTGGCCTATTTCCACACCCTAACCCCCCCCCCACTCTCTTGTATCGAAGAACATTTTCAGCTGTAACGCCGACTCACCGAGTGCGTCGGAAATCCCAGTAAAGTCAGAAGTAAGACGACGCCGCCGCCGCCATCGAGCCGCCCCGGGCTCCACATCGTCCCTGGCGAGCGTCGCTGTCGTGGCCCGTTGGCGAGAGTGTCGTCGGTGAGGCGAGTGTCCCCTGTGGTGGAAGGGGCCGCTGGTGCGCGTCCCTAACCGCGGAGCTGCCGCAAGGCGAGTGTCCCTGTCTCGGAGCTGCCGCGGGAGAGTGAGTGAGTGTCCCTATCTCGGAGGTGCCGCGGGAGAGTGAGTGAGTGTCCCTATCTCGGAGCTGCCGCGGGTGAGTGAGTGTCCCTATCTCGGAGCTGCCGCGGGTGAGTGAGTGTCCCTATCTCGGAGCTGCCGCGGGTGAGTGAGTGAGTGTCCCTATCTCGGAGCTGCCGCGGGAGAGTGAGTGAGTGTCCCTATCTCGGAGCTGTCGCGGGAGAGTGAGTGTCCCTATCTCGGAGCTGCCGCGGGAGAGTGAGTGTCCCTATCTCGGAGCTGTCGCAGGTGAGTGGCCTTAGCTCGTAGCCGCCATTACGCTCCTCCTGTCAATCGTTCGCTTGTCGCTTCTGCTCCTTCTTTTATTGTAATTCCCGCCCCCCCCCTCCGCGCCCTGTGCACGAATAGAAAGGCCGCACATCCAATTAAGGTCAGAGCGAGAGGTGTCCCTTATTCCGGCTCGTGGGCAGCGCTCAGAGGCAGAGGCCCAGACACGGGGAACGTCACTCGCCTCATCCATTGCTCCTCCTCCGCCTCCTCCTCCACCATGTGACATTAACCATTAGCTGCCCAGAGCCGCCACACGCACCACATACACGCACACACCAGAGCAACCCCTTAACCATTACCTGCCCAGAGCAATCTCACACACACACACCAGAGCACCCCCTTAACTATTACCTGCCCAGAGCAATCTCACACGCACCAGAACAACCCCTTAACCATTACCTGCCCAGAGCAATCTCACACACACCAGAACAACCCCTTAACCATTGGCTGCCCAGAGCAATCTCACACACACCAGAACAACCCCTTAACCATTACCTGCCCAGAGCAATCACACACACACCAGAGCACCCCTTAACCATTGGCTGCCCAGAGCAATCTCACACACACCAGAACAACCCCTTAACCATTACCTGCCCAGAGCAATCACACACACACCAGAGCACCCCTTAACCATTGGCTGCCCAGAGCAATCACACACACACCAGAGCACCCCCTTAACTATTAGCTGCCCAGAGCAATCACACACACACCAGAGCACCCCCTTAACCATTAGCTGCCCCAAACAATCACACGCACCATATCAACTCCTTAACCATTAACTGCCCAGAGCAACCAAACACACAACTGCCACCATCCAAACACCATCTAAATTGAAGGTCTTCAAGATTATCAATGGTAGTGGTAGAGTAAGCAGTAATAGATTATCCCCACCGTTTATTTGTGAATAAATAACAAAGGGTAAAATTCAGGATAATCAGAAAAAGAGCGAAATTAAAGTTTACAGAAGTGATTTTTACAAACAAGAGTGGTTGTTGAAGTGGAGGCAGTAAGTTCTTTGGTGAGAGAATTAGATAAATGCTTGTATAGGATAAATATTAAAAAGTCTGGGAAGCAAGCAAGAGAATGCCATTAGATAAAGTGAAGAGAAAAGCACCTACCAAAATTGTTACTGTAGTTGAAAACCTTTCTTAAAATGGAACACGAACACATCTGACATTTCTTTTTTATTTAGCTGTGGAAGTTGAGTTTTCTCAGCTGGGATTGAATTATCTATCTACGAAAGCTCCAGCTCTGCTGAAGTTTCATCCGTTTCACATTTTGTTACTGTTACAGTGGCACAGTGTAACTAGTTAACTGTTTTCCCTTGTTCCAAATCCTAATCTCCTGCCATTCATAAACAGATCCGCCCATGAGACCATATGACATCAGGAGATGGTTAATAACTACCAGAAATTCCGGAAGGGTGCAAGTTTGAATACTTCAAGCATGTCACATCTGATTAAGAAAATCAGAATGACAGCACACACGAAAGAAAACAAATAAATGTCCCTTTGCAGTTTTTTACTCTTTTATTAATAGTTACTTTATTTTATAAAATGATCAGTGCACATAATAATGCGTTGATAATAACAATAAGAATGCTTCTTATTAGTTTTGTCTTAGTAACTGACCCTTTTTTTTAAAAGTGGGAAGGGGGATCGTGGATGAGGTGATAGATGTTAGCTGAGAGTTAACAACAAATTGCATTTATATAGCACATTCGTGTTGGGAGAATCCAACATTCCTTCAGTGACTAATCTTAATATCAATATAAATTATAACAGCTAAGCTGTTATAGGCTAAGCTGATTCTCCAATGCAGAGTTGGGGATCTTTGCATTGTCAGAGATGCTGTTCTTTGGGTCTGATATTAACAACAACAACAACAAAATTACATTTATAGAGCGCCTTTCACGTCAGGAGGACATCCCAAAGCGCTGAACAGTCAGGTGTCGGGGCCCGAGCATGGGAAAGGGGGGTGGTGTAGGGGTGAGGGAAGGCAGAGAGGGGGGAGGGTGATCAAAGGCACGGTCAAAGAGAAGGCTCTTGAGACCGACCTTGAAGGAGGCAAGGGAGGAAGCGATGCGAAGGGACCGTGGGATAATAATAATAATAATAATCCTTGCATTTGATATAGCGCTTTTCACGTCGGGAGGACGTCCCAAAGCGCTTCACAGAACACACTGTAAAGTGAATTGACTGTATATTTGTGGGCGAACGCGGCAGCCAATTGCGCACAGCAATGTCCCAATAACAGTCGGAGATTGTAAATTACCAATTTATTATTGGTTTTGGTTTTGGAGGGATTATTATTAGGCTCTGTGTGAAGTAAGGAAACTTGCCCAAGGTTTTGCCCTGCCTGGAATTGAACTCAGGTCTCTCACTTGCAAAGCGTTCCAGAGTGCGGGGGCAGAGAGGCTGAAAGCCCGGCCACTAATGGTAGGGCGGGTCGGGTGGGAAACATGGAGCAGGCCGGAGCCCGATGAACGGAGAGAGCGGGCAGGCTCATAGGGAGTCAGCCGGTCAGAGAGGTAGGAGGGGGCAAGGCCATGGATGGCCTTAAAGGTGAGGACGAGGATCTTGAACTGGATCCTCTGGGGGATGGGGACCCAGTGAAGTCGGGCGAGGGTGGGAGTGATGGGGTCACGGAGCCTGGTGCATGAGAGTACACAAGCCCGAAGTCCTGCCTGCCTGTCCAAGTGGACATTAAAGATGCCAAGGCACCACTCAAAAAGAGAAGGAAGTTTCTCCCTGTGATCCAGCCAACAATGCCCAAATAAAATTGATCATTTGCTTCATGGCTGTTTATGGGAATTGTAGTGCGCAAAAGTGGCTGCTGCATTTGCCTAAAAATACAGTCACCATACTTTATAGTAAAATTACGTAAAGCACTTTGAAATGCCTCAGCAGCGTGATAAGGCACTTTTATCAAATCCAAGGAGTATTAGTGACATGTGCAAAAAGGGAATTATAAGAATCATGCTAAAAGACTAAATTATTTGTGTTAAACTTTTAATTTTAGGTTTGACCTGCTGTTAGTGAGCCTTCTGCGTTAGGCCACTTTGGTGTGGGGTATAACTGGTAGCTTTGGACTAATCTGAACACCAATCCAGACATGTCTGACCCACAGGGACGTTCAATAAAGGCAAGTGTGCAGTAAATTTGTCATAGTGTTAGGAAACAAGTTTCCTGTGACATCAGCAAATATATCTCAGCTGAGAAGGGTCAACCTGGCAGCACAGAAGACATACTGTAAATTAGGAGCATTTCGTGACCATTCTCTGAAATTGAGGTAACTGCCAGAAAGCCCCAGTTATTTCAGTAAGCCAAACAATTGGACACTATAACTATAATATCATGTTGACATATTTACAGTAACAGAAATGTTATTTGTCATACCTGTTTTGTTTTTACTGCACCTTTTTAGTTTTATTTGATTTTGTGCAAGTGGATTTTATTTTAGAAAAATTACAGAATGGATGACCACAAGATATATTAACACAAAATTAAATGTATTAGCATGCTAGGGTGCAAGTTTCATGTTGTGTGCTCCTGAAGTTGAATCCTTGTGTATTGTGATATTTTTCTTTGCATGACCTATGAGATGCTCCCCTAGTTGATGGAGCAGCACTGGTGCTGTTACAATGGACTGTATGCTCCCAGAGACAGCATCTACTTGTGTAGGGCTGTGATATTATGTAAGGCTGTCTTTTCAGTTAGAACCAAAGCGCTCTGAGACGCCGTCCGGCGTGGAGGGCGTTATATAAATCCAAGTTGTTGTTGTTGTTGAGGGCTGTGATATTGGACAGTTACAAGTTCCAACTGATTCCACCTGATTCTTTACATTGTCTACAACCATGTGGGACCTATCTGAGTGACTCCTCTACTTTATGCAGATTACCTTCCTGTGTTGTCTGAATGGAGGATAGTGACTCTTCAAAATGGTACCAGTGTTTGAAAGCACACTAATAGGATATGTGTACCAGATGTGAATTCATGAACATGTTGCCCACAGATGCTGTGCATGGGCTGTATATTCCAGTTGCTTTGAAAAATGTTGTTTTTAATGACTTAATAAAAATTGAAAGCTATTTTTCATTCACATAGCAAGAAGTCAAAGTGTAGACATGCCTTAAGCAAGACTGTCAACTGAATGACAAATTATGGGCATATTCATGCTGTGAGCTTTACTCGCTAGTGTGTCGTTTCAGTTAGAACTCTAGAAAAATTGCTGCATAATATTTGTTAAGAAAAATAGTTATCTAAGTAAGTACCTAATGGATTCTACATCTGGTGTTTTACTTTTGTACCACCTAGAATTTCCCAAGTGGGAGGGGACATTATAGAAGTGTTTAAGATCATGAAAGGATTTAATAAAATGGATGTTGATAGGATGTTTCCACTTGTTGGCAAGTCCAAAACTAGAGGGCATCAAGTCAGCCTGTGGTAGATCTGAAAGGGTGTTCAGGAGGAACTGCTTCACACAGAGTGTGGTGAGATTGTGGAACTCACTGCCAAAGTCATGGTTGAGCTAAAGACAATATATTTAAGAGAAAACTTGATGCGTACATGTGGAAAAGGGGAATAGAGGAGTTTAGGAGAGAGCAATTGCCTGGGGGTCATGTGAAGTATAAACACTAGCATAGACTACAAGTGTTCAAGATTTGATAAAATGGATGTTGATCTCTATTTCCACTTGTTGGCGAGTCCAAAAGTCGAGGACCATGTTTCTGTGCCATATTAGTCTCTGTGACTGTATTAGGGAAAGAGAACTTATATAGGACTTCCTTAATTTCAGTGTGAGTAGTATCACATATTTATAGTTATGTAGTCATTTAAGGCTATTTTTGGAGTGTGCACCAGTTGTAAACTGGGTTGGCAGGCTACAGCACTATCTGCTGGTTATAATTGCCATCTGAACTAACTATTTCATATTTAATCACTGAATTTTTTTTAAAAATTGTCAGAAAACCACAAGTGAAATTCCACCTGGATGTACATTAACTCTATTTTCTGAGAACATCAGAGTGTGCAGATTTTGACCAATTAAATTTAGTCATAGTTCTGAAACCGCTTTTCTGCACTTCTTAAAAATTAAGAGTGTGTTTAAGAATTTGAAATCCCAAGAAAAGAGAGTAAATCTAGACCCCTGTGGAATTTCTCCCCTTAGATTATTATCCAGGTAATTCAGCGTGGCAAAAATGAATTTGGGGCCACAATTGTTTTAGATTGGTTTAGTTCACATAAAGGCAAATGTGAAATCTTCAAAATTACTAAGAGAACTGGGAGTCAGTTCCATTGCTAAAATCAAAGTGAGGGGTTCAAGTGATGATGTAAATCACAATTCATTGAGTGAGATAATTACTTTCATTTCTGATGACTAGACTATAATCAAGCCTTACTAACGGGATGAATCTTTCCCCTGTCTGATGTTAGAATGAGATTTTTTTGATCAGCCAGGTGTCTGACACATGCAGAAACCCATTACCGTGCTTAAGAGTATCCAAACCAAGCTGAGAATTCCATGCATCCCACCTACACATAGAAATTCGAGAGATAAGATTGTTGGAATTGACTCTGTCCCTGGAGGGTTGTATCCCGCTTACCTAATTTCAGAAAGTATTAGGTGCAGATTGACAAGAGCCAAGGTTTGGGGACACCAGAGTGTGCGTTGGGGTAACTGCTGGAGTCTAACCAGCTAAAAACGCATAACTTGCCATTGACTGTCCTGCAAGCTTTCCTGCTGTTTGTCCAGCCAGGACCACCCTACCCGTTAGGGCCATAGCTTGCAGGGTTAACAAGAGCTGAGTGGGATGACTCCCTGCCACCCAGTGACTGGTCTGCCCTTCCAAGTCCTGCTGATAAGCCAAGCTGTCATTGGCAGTGCCCTGAAATGCTGTGGCGCTGCCTGGCTCCAGAACCAGACTACCTAGACAACCACAGAGGTTTGGTTCGATTCTAACTTTCCATTGCGAATTATGTCACCTTGAAGATAGTTTGGCTCCAATGGGACCCCACTTACCCCCACCTCCTCCAAGAAGGACGAATTTTATGTTGAAACAGTCTCAAGCAAGTTATGTCTATGATTTGTCCTGGATTGCATATAATGCTGACTAGGCCATTCCTGAATGAACTCAAACCTTGATGGCAAAACTTTGACGAAGCATCAGTTTAGTTAATAAGTTCTTTTATTTTATCCACAGATTCAACACTTCCCATGGGCAAGTATGCTTTTAACTCCTTATAAGTAGTCCTTATAAATTTCATTAAAAAAAGCCCATAAATTCTTATAAAGTCTGTGCCAACAATTCAAAGTCGTCTTCCCATTAAACCATCAAACTGTTTCTTAGGTGAGTCTCTGATAACTTGTTACATCTTTTCATTCCATTTTATGTGTGAAAAAACATTTGGCATTTATCCTAAAGTTGACCTTCACCTTAAAAATAACTCTTGAACTGTTCAGTTCTGCCCTTGTGTACTGTCGCCTTGGTATTTTCAAAAGTATGGTCTGGATTTATTTTCTCAATCCCATTTAGATCTTGTGTATGTTTGCAGGGTCCTCTCTAAGATCTCTCTTTTCAAAGCTGAAGAACCCTAGATTGTCTAGTTATTCTTCATAGTAAATCCCTCTTAGCACAGAGGATTATCTACAAGCACAGTCATTGCAGTTTACGGTATATCCTGTGATGTAGTTTGAGGCATCCTCTTGACATTAAAGGAACTATATCAAATATGATTATTATTATGATCGCAGACTAGTCAATAAAGTAAAACATCAATTAGCTGTATTTTTTAAGAAAAGTCTTAATTAATGCATCACAGGTCATAATTATCACCCAAATGTAAACAACACAGGAACTAATAATGTTCCCTTTCATATCTATTTAGAAATAGAAATCAATATGCTTCATCCAAGACCCTGTGCAGAGAATGCTAATGAAAATCTCTTTTAACTCCTGCAATTATTTTCTTCTGATTTGTTTTTTTCAATTTATTTTTTACGTTCTATTGGCTCACCTGGGTGAAAGGTCGATGACTTACACCCAGGACTCTGCCAAACCCAACCAACTCCACTGGGCAGTGTGTGAGAGAGTGTCAGAGTAACTCTCCATTTACCCCTCAATGCAAGATACAGAGCAAGGATAATGAAGCTGAGTCCTACAAATTGCGTCCTCTGATCTTAGTCATTTCTTCTAATTTTGCTCATTTCAAAGATAAACATTGCATTTTGTTTCTACTTCAGGGTTTCTGTGAAAAAAAACACTGATGTGATTTCTTGATTAGTTTTATCAAATAATTGCAGTGATGAAAGAATGTTTTTTTGGTTCATCGCATTTCTATAATTCAATGTACATGGGAAGCCCTGTACTTTCAAAGTTATATAGGATAATGTCTGGTCAAATAGCTAAATCATATATATTTTTTAAAAATACAAAAATATACCCAGATCATTGACTACTTGATTACATTTACGATACAGAAATGCACTGAATCATCAGAAAGAGACATTAGATTGTGAATCATTCCAATCATAAATAAAGCTTGTTTACAGTGTTTTTTAAAGAAATGTTAATATTGCATGTGCTTTCTGAAGAGATAAATGTAAGAAACGCCTTATATTTAACGTCAATGCTAACCTTTATGATGAAGAATTGTTCATGTTTTCAACCTGAAGTCTTTCAGAGAAAGGGACATTAACCAATCTGTGGTGGGTGCAGTTCTGAGTTAGAATGGCGAAGCAACTAAATCAGGAAGCTGATTTTCAGATCAGACCCTTGTTTGGCAACATACAGTTTTCCAAGAACCTTCTGACAGCTGTTACATCCTTTATTCACCCCAGTCACTATCCTTTACAATATATCATTGGAAAAGCTTTGAGACATCTTCCTGACCTGAAATGCACCATATCAAAAAAAGGGTAAATTCTGAACAAATCTGCGGAAAACACTTCAGTAGCAAACTAATGGAACAGGCTCCCTAGGGAGACAGTGGAAGCAGAAAATGTCATTTGTTTCAAGAACAAATTAGATAGATTTCTGCTAGAAAATAATTTCTCAGGATACAGCGTATAGTTTGGTTCACAGCATGTCAAGCGACTGCCAGGATGGTGGAAGGTGCACCTTGGTCTTCTTTCGCCTAGCAAATTCTTAAGTCCTTATGTTCTTATGGTTATTATTATAATTTATCAAACTACTGCATTTACTTATCAAATCATGCCTTATCATTCTGATTTAACAAAAGTAGCATAATCATTCACTCATTTGTTAAATTATAAAAACAAGTAACCACATACAAGTGACTTACTTGTTATTTTACCGACCTTGAAAGAATAAATCTTTCATTGAAGAACTGCAAACCACTTTTCACTGAATAAATTGAGAAAAATTAATTGATAACATTTTAAGACAAGTAAAATAATTTAAAAGCATTTTATTTTAGTTCCTGATGCTTTCAGTTATAAAATTAATATGTTCCATTTCTGGGCCATTACTTTTCCACTTTTCCAGCAATTTCCATTTATTTCCTTCATTGCAAATAGAAATATGACCAAGTTTTCAACACTGTGGACAACTCTATTCATTAAGTGAAGGTGTCAGCTTGGCTCAGTTGGTAGCACTCTCACTTCTGACTCAGAAGTTTGTGAGTTCAAACCTGTCAGGACTTTGAGCTCACAGTCTAGGCTGACACTCCAATGCAGTGCTGGGGATGCGCTACATTGTTGGAGGTGCCCTGCTTCGGATGTAACCTTAAATCAAGACCTCATTTGTCTGTTTAGATGGATGTTAAAGATCTTGCGGCATTCATCAAAAGTAGGGAGTGTCCTGGTCAACAATCCCCCAGATAAAATCGTTCATTCACTTCATGACTGTTTGTGGGACATTGCTGTGGGCATATTGGCTGTCGCATTTGTTTACAGAATACACAGTCAGTATACTTTACAGTAAAAATCCTGCAAAGTGTTTGAGAAGTCCTGCTGAAATGAAAGGCGCTGTATCAAATGCAAGGATTATTATTCCACTGAAGCTTATAAATGAAATCATGTTCATTCCTTAAAGAATTAGCCAATAGTTCTTAACCTCAGGCTAAACTCGATTCCTATAAAGATATTGTTATTAGGTAGGTATATAATTTATTAATATAGGCCATATTGACAAGAGTGTTAAGAAACTGATCATTCTCAACTGTCCAATGGTGAATAAGCTCTCTTGTACAAAGTTTTAACAAAGTAATTTGCTCTTTCAACACTACTAATGGTAATGTTACTTATGAGTATTTCACTATTGTCATCCCTGAACATCCTTCCCTGTTTACACTTTCCCACTAACATTAGTCACCCAACCAATTCCTAGTCCCTATTGTCTCATCACAAATCCCAAAATAAATATTATATTTGGGTAACAAATTAACATTATACACATTTATTCCTTTTAATTCAAACCAAAGTAAAGAAGGTGTCACATAACAAGCCTTCACTATGGCTCAACAATGTTTGCATTATATCTTTAAAACTGCTCCACTACACTATACCCGAAGGCAGAAGTTGATGCTGTTTCAGCCCTCACTGTACTTTGATGTTTTGTTTTTACAAGTATTACTTTTGCAGTCTGTTTTCCAGGTTTTCAGCTTTGTCCATTTATTTCTTTTGACTGAAGAAGTCTGATGACCCGACCGTTCTTTGTAAGATCTGCTGGCAATTCGTTTGTCTAAAATACAAACCAGGGCATCAAATCGTTTCAGTTACTCCTGCTGTTTAGGGTCATTCTATGTTTCAAACAAGAATGATCTCCAAAATCAATCAAACAAGACTCAAAGATTGATTATACATGAAATGTTTCTTACTTCACAAAAAAAGTGTGGTTTCACTGGAATAGAGAAGGGTCATAGATTGGTTGGAGTTCTAATCATGAGGGGTTTTGATAAAATAAATCCAGATTAACTATTTATTGTCTGTGAGTTGGTAACTGACTGCAGGGTAAAATTTAAGATTATCACCCAAAAACAAAGGAAAGGGTTATTTGTTTTACAGAGGGGGTTATTGAGAAATGGGATGCAACAGGTAAAAACTATGGTGTGGTGATATCACTTCAAGATTTAAGGACAATTAATGACTAACCAATAAGAGGAAGACACGAAGTAGAAGAGGGCACAAAGTGTGTGGTTATTGTTAAGTGAGTTGAGAGTGCTTTTGGAGTACGTCTTATTACAAATTACTGAAACAGAAATATGTAACAGCTTTTAACAGCAAACTGGAGAAATATTTAAAACATAGTTTTTAAGCATAGAATTGGGCAAATATTCAAAACATAAAAATAAATATAAGGATAAAGGGAGAGGACAGAGAAGTTGGACTAAATGGATAGCTCTTATGGAGAACTCGGACAGAGTCAATAGGCTAAATGCTGAATGACCATATGCTGCAAAATTCTATGATTCCATGAAGCAATAACAGTGTGTAGACATGAATGAAATAGAAGGCGATGGAAATAACCAACTATTACCATATTCTTTAGACTTGCATCTGCTCCAGAATTAATGAGAAGAGACACTATCCTCACGCTCCCTCCCAAGACTGCAGCATGAAGAGGCGTTGTTCCATTCTGTTCGTGCAAAAAAAGTGTATATGGTATTTCTGCTTTATATTATAGAAGGGTGGAAAATTAGCAAGCCTCAAACAAATCTTGTAATTAAAAGGATTCTGTCTTATTGTCTTAAATGTATGGAACAAACTCACAGGTAAAGCAGCCAATGCTATGTTGATAAGCATCTTTAAATAAAAGATCACTGAATATATTTAGAAATATAATTAAGAATTGCAAGGTTAAGTACAGATAAAGATAATCAAAGTTGTCTTCGCTTAGGTTTCTCTATGAAAAAAGAACATTAGAGTTCCTGAACCTGTATTTACATTTATACTAATAAAAAATAAACTATAAACCTTGCATTTGATATAGCACTTTCACATCTTCTAGATGTCTCAAAGTGCTTCACAGAATATACTGTAAAGTGAATTGACTGTATATTTGTGGGCGAAACGCTGCAACCAATTGCGTACAGCAGTGTCCCACAAACAGTCGTGGATTGAGTGACCAAATTATTATTGGGGTTTTTTCTTGAGGGATTATTATCAGACGTGAGAAGGAAACTTGCCCAAGGTTTCGCTCTGCCGGGAATCAAACCCAGGTCTCTTGCTTGCGAGGCGAGTGCTCTAACCACTGAGCTACAAGACTCAACAGTGAAGGGAAAAGACTAATATTCTCAAATGTTGGCTTGCATTTTACATAGCCCTTTCATATTGGGAGGATGTCTCAAAATGTTTCCCAGCATTTACTGTACAGTTTGTTTTGTGGGCAAACACAGCTCCAAATTTGCGTGTACAGAAATGTCCCACAACCATGAATTCACTGACCAATTTTTTGGGGGAGATTTATTGGCCAGGACAGTGGGAGAGACTCCCTTCTCTTTTTAAATAGTGCACAGAGATTTTTAATAGTGCACATCTTTAATATCGAGGAGTAATGTTTCAGCAGAAGGACGGAACCTCCAACAATGCATCACACCCCAGCAATACATTGGAACGTCAGCCTAGACTGTTGTCTCAAAGGTTCAAGTCTGTGGGGCTACCAATTTAGCCAGGCTGACCCCTAAAGATGTGAAGGTGGTTTGCTTGACTCATCTATGGGAGCAGGGAGTAACATTGCAAAATCTTCCCTCAGAAATTAAATTGTTTTGTAGATATAATGTGACTGTGATATAATAGATTCTACACTAATACATTTGTTTTGTAGGCAAACACAGAAGCCAATTTGCGTGGTTTGATGGAAATGAAATATTAGCCTGCTCTGAAAGAAACTATGAACTAGTATAGAAAATAATCACTCAATTAAACAAATGGAAAGAGAATTAGAATAAATCCTGAATTTAAGTAAATAGGTTTGACGTGACACAGAAAAACAGAGAACAGATTGATCTTAAACAGTTCTTTGGATGACAGAGCAAGAAGGATCAGGTAAATAGCTTTTTTCTCGTCCATAAACTCTAATGTTCTTTGATACTAAATGGGATTTATTCAATTGTTCCTCCATGAATATTCATGTAATATTACATTGTTTATGCAATGTCTCAGTTCATTTCTATTGATTGCTACATATTTGCCTGCAAATATAAATTAAACTTAACTTCAGCACGTTCATATTCAGAGTTTTACCTTGAGAACTCCTAGCGAAGGGAAAAACTTGAGTAGCTCCTGTACAACTTCAGTATACCCTTTGTAAGCAGCTTTGAATAATGGTGTTGAGCCATCCTTAAAAAGAGAACCATTCTGAATAAACATGCATATTCTGGCAAGCTATTTCCTTCCCCTTTCCACAATCAGAAAGGGTTATTTTTTCTACATTGCTATCCAACAGAATGAACTAGTTTGCTGTGTTTTTAAATACAACTAACTTGGAAACCTTCATTTATAATAATAATAATTTATATTTTATAATGCCAAACTGGAGGCCTTTATATGCTTACCTGATACAGTCCTGCTCACTTATGTGGCCATGTTGGGGACTGTTCTAATTTTGACAACATAAGACGTTTGTCGACATAAGCGGATGATACATATACTGTGATTAAAATTTCTATACCATATATTTTCCTTTGTTTTAAAAAAAATTTAAGAATTTATTGTTTTATAAGCGACATTTGTTCTTTTCAGATCGGTGCTTGTAGCTGATCCCAAATACTTAGCTGCTTCTTTCATTTCTTTTGATGGCTCCAATTGAGCATTAAATATATTCATTTGTATCTTATCTATGGCTTGTTTAAGGATGCTAATGCCTCACATTTCACATCGTATGATATTCAAGGAAATGGGGGAATCAAAAGATATTCAGGATGTAGTCAAAATGAAACAATAATTTTAGGGTTATTTTTTACCATATTTCTCAGAAGACATGTGTAAATAATGAATTGATGAAACATTACAGGTGCCGAAGAATCTTATTAAATACCTAAAACATCAAATACCTTAATTTAACGGTCACGTCTTCCTGCCAGGTTATATCTGACTTTGTGCAAATTGGCACTGATTTCTGGACAATTATGTGCTGTGTATCTGTGCCTACTCTGCCAAGTACTGTAAAAAAACAACAGCTTTTCACTCATAGTGGAAGGAATCACCTTGCGTGGAGTATCTGCATTAGCTCCATGTTCGAGCAGCACCTTCACAATATTAGCATGTCCCATCTGTGCTGCAATCCATAGTGGAGTAGTTAGATCCTAATCAATCAAAAGACAATGAAATTGAAATCATATCACAGCCTACTACAGATTCTAATATTTTCCCTGCCTCCAGGAAAGGAACAAGGTCAATGGAATCACATTCATGGGCAGTATTAGGCACAGGTGGGCCAGAGCCAAGGCTTAGAGACTGCAAAGTGTGTATTGGTTTAACCAGCTAAATCCATATAGGTTGCCAATGAGAGGACTGTCCAGAAACCTTGCTACTGCTTATCCAGCTAGAGCCATTCTACCCATTAAGGCTTTGGTTTGCAGAGTTAACAGTAGCTGAATGGGATGAATCCCTGTCTCTAGTGACTGATTACCCCTCCAAATCCTGCCAATGAGCAAGTACTGTAGACCTTTGTGTCTCAAACACTGGATTACCAAGACCACCACAGACGGTTGACTCGATTCTGACATTCCACGTCATCTTGTACTCAAACTCCAGCCTCAGCTCCAAGGAGTCCCAGCTTACCTCCCCCCACCCAATGACCATAGTAACTAGTTGGTCACTTGACATCTGGCAAGTGCAGATTTTAAGACATCACTAAGTGGATACATTTACCAGGAAGTTTCCTGGTGAGCAATCAATTACATTGGTTCCTATTCATTTCTTCAACTATATAATATAAAATTCCATTTGTAAAATACCTTTCACATGGGGAGGACGTCCCAAGGCGCTGGATAGTCAGGGATTTGGACCCTAGCAGGGGTTCAGGGGTTGGGATCAGGGAGGGTGGAAGGCAGGGAGGGTGGCCGAAGCCATGGTCAAAGAGGAAGGTCTTGAAACGTGTCTTGAAAGAGGCAAGGGAGGGAGCGAAGCGAAGGGAATAAAAATAAAAGAGAATATAAAGCAAAACAACAACCTGTCTTGGCTGGTCAGCCCTTGCTCCTGATGACAGCAGAAATCGAACCACATCATCATGTCCTCCTTGTGCTGCCAGAAAAAGTGAAGTAGCACCATCCTGAAAAACAGGAAATCTACTGGTCTCTGTCACAGTTAAGAACATAAGTATATACTATACGAAAGAAGATCAAGGTCCATCTAGTTCGCCTTCCGCCATCCTGGCAGTCACTTGACGTGTCCTGTCCCAAACTATACACTGTATCCAGAGATATTATTTTCTAGCAGAAATCAATCTAATTTGTTCTTGAAACAAACCACATTTTCTGCTTCCACTGTCTCCCTCGGGAGCTTGTTCCTTACTGAAGTAGCGTTTCCACAGATTTGTTACGCACCAGTGATTTATAAAGTGGCAGGATTACCCCACTATTTCCCTTTGATTCTTGAATTAAACCAATCGACTAACAACTGGGTTCCTACTTACTACTGGGTAAACATAGGCATGCGATTAAGGCAATTTGCCTAAAGTTTCCGACTCTGCCTGGGAATCGAACCCAGGTCGTCTCGCTTGCAAGGCAAGCACTCTACCACTATGGTACGGAGCTCCACATATCCAGTAATGATATGTACATTCTGTTCTCGTATTGTATCAATTGGAGTCCTGTAGCTCAGTGGTTAGAGCACTCACTTTGCAAGTGAGAGACCTGAGTTCAATTCCAGGCAGAGGGCGAAACCTTGGGCAAGTTTCCTTACTCCACACATAGCCTAATAATAATCCCTCCAAAACCAAAAACAATAATCAATTGGTCATTTTCAATCTACGACTGTTTGTGGGACATTGCTGTGCGCAATTGGCTGCCGCGTTCGCCCACAAATATACAGTCAATTCACTTTACAGTGTGTTCTGTGAAGTGCTTTGAGACATCTCAGCGCTATATCAAATGCAAGGATTATTATTATTATTATTAATTGCACTGTTTAACGGAAGAACTATGTTTTTAAAGCATGCCATTTTTTAAATGTAATTTCTAGCTGGTGGGATGGCTTCTAATTTGTTGTGTTCAATATTTGCTTTCTGGCTTTTTTTTATTAACACATGCAGAAATCCATCACCATAATTACAGTATACAAACCATGCTGAAAGTTCTATGTATTTATGCCACCTACACATGGAAATTTCCCGGTGTATCGAATGGATTACACATTTGCCCACAAAAATATACTCTCAATTCACTTTACAGTATATTCTGTGAAGTGCTTTGAGACATCTCAAAGATGTGATAAGGCGCTATCAAATGCAAGGATTATTATTCTCCCTGGAGGGATTCACCCTGCCGACATCACTCACTGACATGTCTCAAAGCCCTTTACAGGATTTTATTGTAAAGTGTAGTGACTGCGTATGCGTAGGCGAATACGGCAGGCAATTAGCACCCAGCAGTGTCCCACAAAGAGCCATGACGAGAGTGACAATTTTAGTTAGGCCAGGACACCGGGATAAATTCTCTTCATTTACTTCCATTGGAAATAATAGTTGCTTCAGGGCAGAAATGTAGAACTTGCTGTAACAACTGGGCAATTAAAACCTCTGTAATGTAGTGCCTCAATCATTTCTTTCATTAATTCAGACAATACAAAACATTAAAAAGTCAGTTTAGCTTTTCCTGTAAAAATGCAAAGACCAGCAGGGCTATTTAATCGAGGGGCAGCACTATTTTAAATATTACTGCATACTGTATTAATAAGCATTTTGGCATACAATCATGCAGTTTGGTGTCTAATCAATTTATGCCCCTCTTTCACATTCACTGACATCAGAATGTGAAGAGAGTCAGTAGCCTTTAGTCAAAATCAATGGCTTTTCATTTCTCCTCAAAGAGCAAGTAAAGCAGAAGTCAAGGAACAAAATGTGGTGTATCGTTCAATGTTTCTGCTGAATGTCAGTTCCTAAGCTTACTAACAGCAGCTCAGAGTTGGTCTATTGACAATATGCCTTCTTAGCTGGAGATTTCTGGAACGGCCTCTAGCTACGAATTGTATTGCCAAGGCACTGCAGTGCCACTATGCCATTACAATGTTTTATTTGTAACAAACAAGTTAGACGCATTGCTGGAGCAAAATTGATTTTCACTGTCTTTTGGTCTGAATTGCATTTGCTTTGTGTACTTATTTGAGTGTGTGTAAAAGCCTGTTTATTTTTTTGGTGGGGGCAGTCCATTTTCACTCACAAATTTGAATGTTGTATTGGAGGAGGAGTACAGTAATAATAAGAAGAATCTTTCCATTTGATTTAGTTCCTTATCACATTGTTACATTTGAAAGCGCTTCACAGAATATACTGGAAAGTGAATTGACTGTATGTTTTTTGTGGGCGAAATGTTGCACACAGCATTGTCCCACAAACAGTGATTCATTGTGTGCTGTGAAATGTCCTAAGATCTCTTCCCTCATAGTCCATTTCAGTTCATCCTTTACTGACTGTCTGAGAGAAGACATTTTGATTTGTCGGGAGAGGATACAAATTTTGATTCTAAAGGTGAAAAATCCTTGAGTCACTGTAATTGTTAATTTTTCTTACCTGTAACTGGATGTTGACATTACATCTCCAGTTGAGTAAAGTGTTCACCACACTGGTACGTCCATATTGACAAGCTATTGAAAGTGGCGTAGCTCCACACTAATGCAGAGAAAATGCAATGAAAATGTAAACAAATTATACAAGCACCAAATGTTGTGCTTTTATGTTTTTAAGTAATGGATACTGGTGCTGTTCAAATGTACAAATTATGGGCAGGAATGCCACCCAGGTAAAATTACTTTTTTTATTTTCTTGGAATTTCAGCGCAGTGCAGAATTTTGGCAGCTTCTCAAACACAGTCATAGGAAACACAGGAACAGGAGTAGGATATTCAGCCCTTCGAGCCTGTTCTGCCATTCAATTAGATCATGGCTGATCTGTACCTCGCCTAATCCTGTCAATTCCAATTTCCCGCTTCTTCCCTTGATACCCTCACCTACCAAAAATCTATCAACCTCACTCTTGAAGGTGTGGATGGATCCAGCATCCACAGCCTTTTGGTGGAGAGAATTCCAGATTTCTGCCACCCTTTGAGTGAAAAAATGCTTCCTGATTTCACTCCTAAATGACCTGGTTGTAATTTTAAGACTATGCCCCCTTATTCTGGATTCCCCACCAGAGGAAATAGCTTCTCTGTATCTACCCTATCAAATCCCTTTATCATCATAAATACCTCAATCAAATCACCCCTCGACATTCTAAACTTAAGGGAATACAATCCAAATTTTACACAGCCTTTCTTCATAACTTAACCCTTTAAGCCCTGGTAACATTCTGGTGAACCTGCACTGCACCCCCCCCCAGGGTCAATATATCTTTCCTGAGGTGTGGTGCCCAAAACTGAACACAGTCTCCAGATGAGGTCTGACTAACGCTCTATATGATCTTTGTGGAGTCCTGTAGCTCAGTGGTTAGAGTACTCGCCTTGCAAGCAAGACACCTGGGTTCAATTCCAGGCAGGGCGAAACCTTGGGCAAGTTTCCTTACTCCACACGCCTAATAATAATCCCTCCAAAACAAAACAATAATAAATTGTTCATTTTCAATCCACGACTGTTTGTGGGACACTGCTGTGCGCAATTGGCTGCCGCGTTTCGCCCACAAATATACGGTCAATTTACTTTACAGTCTATTCTGTGAAGTGCTTTGAGATGTCGAGAAGACGTGAAAAGCGCTATATCCAATGCAAGGATTATTATATATTATACAGCTGAAGCATCATTTCTTCCCCTTTATATTCCAGGCCCCTTGAGATAAAGGTCAACATTCCATTCGCCTTTTTGATTACTTTTTGCACCAGGAAACTAGTTTTTAGTGATTTCTGGATAATGGTCACCCAAATCTCTTTGCTTCTCCACGGTTCTTAGTTTCTACCCATTAAAAAAAAATTCTGTTTTATCTTTTTTTGATCCATGGATGACCTTGCACTTCCCTACATTGAACTCCAAGTGTCACAGCTTTGCCCACTTAATCTGTCACTCATGGAATTGATAGCAATTTGATGAGGTAGATTAAAACCTGATTTAGCAATGGGAAACAGAAGGTGATAGGAAATTCTGTGGGAAGTCATTACTGGAGTTCCACAAGACTGTTCTGAGACACCTTGAATTTTTGTTTCTCAAAGAGTACTGCATATGTATAACAAACTCCCAATTAAATCAATGATGGCTCTATCAATTAATTCCTTTCAGCTATTCTACCCTTGCTCTGTGGAACCCCATTATTGAGTTTCTTTGACTTGCCCCATCCCCTTCCACTTTCAAAGCCTGACTCAAGACTTACCTCTTACTTCCTTACCCCCGGTTAGGTGCCCAGCCAGCAGAGTGAAGTAATTTGAAACAAACTTCTGACGTGTGAGAGGCACTATGTAAAATGTATTGAATCCAGGCAAAGTTTTTCCCCATGAGATAATAATAATAATCCTTGCATTTGATATAGCGCTTTTCACGTCTTCTAGATGCTTCACAGAATATACTGTAAACAACAACAACAAGATTTCATTTATAGAGCGCCTTTCACATCAGGAGAACGTCCCAAGGCGCTGGACAGTTGGGTCGGGACCTGAGTAGGGGGGAAATGGTCAGGGGGAGGGAGCAAGGAGGGGGTAGAGAGTGAAGAGGGGAGCTGAAGGCACGGTCAAAGAGAAAGGTCTTGAGACTGGCCTTGAAGGAGGAAAGGGAGGAAGCAAGGCGAAGGCACTGGGGGATACAGTTCCAGAGCCTAGGGGCTGAGAGGCTGAAGGCCTGGCCACCGATGGTAGGGTGGTTAGAGCGGGGGATGTGGAGCAGACCGGAGCCAGAGGAACAGAGGGTACAGGCAGGTAAGTAGGGGGATAGTAGGTCGGAGAGGTAGGAAAGAGCAAGGCCGTGAATGGCCTTGTAGGTGAGGATGAGGATCTTGAATTCGAGTGAATTGACTGTATATTTGTGGGCGAAACGTGCCAGAGAAGGTGGGTGAAGTCCATGATGGAAGATTTTAGATTGTGGAGAGTGGCTAATGGGTTGTGTACTGCAATTTACAGACCAATGTGAAATACCGACATGCTTACAAACTAGTGCAGATTATAATGGCATCTTTAATCAGCGACATCCTACATTACTACATGTAATTTCTACTTGAGTTCTTAGTAAATTGTAGATGCAAACCCTGATGTGCAAAAGACATGATAAGAATAAACAATTCTTCAACTTCCAGTTACTTGGCATATATCACTGGACGTCCCAACTAATTGCAGGAGGTTTTCTTACTTTTGTTGGTAGTTCAGTGGAGGCCCCAAATTCCAAAAGTAATTTCACAATGGCATCATTACCTTGTTGAGCAGCAAAGTACAATGCAGTGGAACCTGACTGGAAAAAGAAGCTAAATTCAGTCACTGTAATATCTGTGTCTTTAATCACAAAGCTTTCAGCTAATTATTGGCTTCAATTTGAATTGCTGTAGTTAATTTAAAAAATTCTTGCATTTGATATTGTGCCTTTCACGTCAGTAGGACTTCTAAAAGCACTTCACAGGATTTAATGTAAAATGTGGTGACAGTGCAATTGTAGGGGAAAGCAGCAGCCAATTTGCGCACAGCAAGTCTCCACAAACTACCTATTTTATTTGGGGGGATTGTTGGCCAGAACACCGGGAGAAACTCCCTTCTCTTTTTGAATAGTTGCTGAATATCAACTTATGGTCACACTAATGAGACATATTCACTAATATGCTTGCATTAGAAGAAGTACATATTTTCTTTTGGCATAAAAATTGTTGTCATTTTTTATTCTTAAGAGCACGAGTGCTGGATAGGTAAGTTAAAAAAGTGGTATCAGGGGCAAAGTTGACATTGAAAAACGTGAGCAATGATTTTCTTTTTGTTTTTCTTTTGCAAATGGATTTATTATACCTATTCCCTGTTCCCAGGTCTCTGCCACTGCTGTACCATATCCAACCCTTCAGAAGTGAATGAGAACGACTCAAAGTGACTCTGTGTGTTTGATTTGTTTACGCCCCTCTCTATATATGAGAAAAAGAACTATGATAAACGTCCTTTATCAAGTGATACACTTGAGATCAGCTTTTGTTTCCCTGTGTGGAATCATGGGCATCTATATCCTAGATCATGAGTCTAATTTGCGATATTGTAATAATGTTTGCATTTGATATTGTACCTTTCCATGTTGTCAAAATGTTTCAAAGCGCTTTACAAGATTTACTAATAAGTGTAGTGACTGTAGGCAAATTTTGTAGGCAAATGTAACAGCCAATTTGCGCCCAGAAATGCTGTATTACACAAAATACAATGAATGACTCATTTTATTTGGGGGCCCAGAAGAAAATCCTTTCTTTTTTTAATTAGTGCCGTGGGATGGTTAGTGCCTATCCGAACAGGCAGAGAAGAAGCAATATTGTAATTAAAGATTCCTTCAGGTTCATGGATTCACATAATCCTAGAATCTTATAGCACAGAGGAGGGCAAAGTACCTGTGACGACCCTTTGAAAGAGTTGTCCAATTAGTCCCACTCCCCTGGTTTTTTCCGAATAACCTTGCACATTTTTCCTTTTCAAAAAGGTTCTTTATTTTTATTTTAATTAAAGAGAAAGAAAAATCTAGGGGGTGTCATTTCTGTTCAAAGCGACTCCGGATTTGATTCAATTGCCCCATGAAGATGAATGCCTCTGATTCAGGATGCATAAGTTAGTGCTCCCCAGCAGGGAGACCATTTATAACAGAGTGGGTAAACAAGAGGTTGTTTCTAGAGATCTTTAACAACGAAAAAAAATTTCAAGGATATTATTTTCAAATGTAACTTGAGGAAAGTGCTTGGAACAGAAACTGGTCTACACTTCACAATGACCACCACTGACCTCCCCCGACTCACTCCACTTGGGACCACGTCACAATACATCACAGATACACTCCACTTCTGCAGTGGTGAGGAAATTCTTCAAAACCTTCCAAATAAATAGCTTTAATTACTTACACCAAGCTTATTTATTATTTTCTAATAAATAAAGAAATTATAGTAATCCTTGCATTTGGTACAGCACCTTTTGTGTAAGAGGACATCTTAAAGTGCTTCACAGGATTTTAGTGTGACATGTAGTGACTGTGCATTTTGTAGGCAATCGCAGCTTCCAATTTGTATATAGCAATATCCCTTAAACAGACTTGAAGTGAATGACTACTACTAACACAATTACAACTTGCATTTATATAGCACCCTTCACTTGTCTCGTAGCACTTGTGGAGTGGCCAACTTTATATGGGGGATTATTGACCAGGACACTAAGAGAAACTGCCTTCTCTTTTCAAATAATGCAATGGGATCTTTAATGTCCACCTGAGCAGGCTGATAGGGCATTGGATTAATGCCTCATCCAAACGATGCCACCTCCAACAATACAGCACACCCCCAATACTACATTAGAGTGTCAGCCTGGACTGTGAGTTCAAAGTCCTGACTTGGAGCTTGAACCCCAAAAACTCCTGACTCAGAATGCTTCCAACTGAGCCAAGTGACTATAGACCGCTTGAAATTTACAGCACAGAAGAAGGCCATTGTGTTGTGCTAGTCTTTTAAAGAGCAATCTTGTCACGCTTATATGGCGAGAAATATCAAGTGTCAAACTTATGAATTAACTATAAAACCTTTATCATTGAGTACCCTGGATATTCCCACTGTTACCCATTTTTACCACACACATGTTAAAAAAATTAAACCTAAATAATTTGCTATTATTTAATGTTAAATATATCAATTTTCTTCCTTCATCGCACTTGTTCCAGAGAACAACCTGCTTTAATACTCGTGCTGCTGTAAGTGTGTGTCCTGAGTGCATTGTTGTACCTTCTATTAACGTTTCAGGTTTCTTCTGTCACTGGAGCTTATCCAGATAATTTAATCTTTTTAACTCAAACAAATCGATTTTGGGGCAAATAAGCAAGATGTACAAATGCCAATCTTAATCTCAGTTAATCTCTCTTGATCTTATCTTTTTTGCGTAAAAATGTTCTCAATCTGCACACTCCCTTCATTCATTCGCGCTCTCTCTACATCTGCTTCGTACTTTTATTTAAACTCCATGCTTTTATTTAAACATCCTCCATGGAAAAGTAAACAACAACAAATTTGTATTTATATAGTGCCTTCCACTTCAGAAGAACGTCCCAAGGTGCTCAAATGCTGAAATATCTCTGTATTTACCTGTAGCCAGCATAATAATCTTTTCCCGTTCCTTACCTTACCCAGTTGTTGATCGATTGGCGGATCACTTTTCCGGGGTAATAAACCCTTCAAAAAAATAATAATAATAATTTGGTCACTCAATCCACGCCTGTTTGCGGGACACTGCTGTGCACAATTGGCTGCTGCGTTAAGACCACAAAATATACAGTCAATTCACTTTACAGCATATTCTGTGAAGCACTTTGAGAAGTTTCGAAGATGTGATAAAGCGCTATATCAAATGCAAGGATTATTATTAGTAGTAGTAGTAGTAGTATTACCTCTCTCTGGATGTTTATGTCCGCTCCTTGCATAATCAGTTCTCGAACGCAATCCAGGTGATTACAGTATGATGCTATCATCAGAGCAGTGGTTCCGAGCTGCCAGTAAAAAGATATCACTGATAAACAAGAACAAATGGTAACAAGCCTTTGCACTTAACTGAAATCATTCATGAATCCAATGGAATTAGCAGAAACGGACGCAATTAAAACAAAGGCAGAAATAAATGTATTGCATTTGAAAGCCTTGCTGTAGTCCCTACCACAACGATTTATGGAAAGGGGGGTACACTTCAAGTGCTGTTGACATGCATGCATTGAGCCCATACACTGTCTCTGCAGTCTGGATCCACACGGCCACTGTTTAAAAGCAGCTTCAAGAATGTCGTGTTTCCTTTTCGTGCAGTCCAGAATACAGCGTTTGCCAGTGGTGTTTCCTTCTGTTGAAACATAAGAACATAAGAATTTGCTAGGAGAAAGAGGAACCAAGGTCCTTCCAGTTCGCCTTCCACCATCCTGGCAGTCGCATGACATGTCATGTCTCAATCTATATACTGTGTCCCGAGATATTATTTCCTAACAGAAATCTATCTAATTTGTTCTTCACTTCAGCACTTTCTGCTTCCACCATCTCCTTTGGGAGCCTGTTCCATGCGCTTACTACTCGTTCACTGAAGTAGAGTTTCACTAAAAATACAGCTTTTAGTGTTGGAATGTGTAATTAACAAAAAATATATAAAAGTGTTCTAAATAGCTCACAAATAGTTTTACAACAAAAACTGACGGAGGAAACTACTGGTGAATTGGTTAAAAAAAGTGAATATATATTTTATCATTCTCACATTATCAGGTCAGGTCACTTGTTGGACAAAATCTGTACTCCATATTGACTTGTCCACTCCCTTCGCTCAGCCGGCTGCAGCCTGCTCCACGTCCCCAATCCAGTCCAGCCCACCATCGACGGTCAGGCCTTCAGCCTCTCTGCCCCCCACCCACATTCCCTTTGCCTTGCTCTCTCCCTTGTCTCTTTCAAGGCACATCTGAAGACCCTCCTTTTCGACCGCGCCTTCAGTCACCCTCCTGCTCCTCCACTCCCTGCCCTGTGTTCCTCCTGATTCCAACCCCCAGCTTGGGTCCAAATCCCTGAATATCCAGGGTCTTGGGATGTCCTCCCGATGTGAAAGAGGCTATACAAACGTAATTTGTTGTTGTTGTAGTATTCAATGTTTTATGTATGCCTGTGGTTAATGAACAAGCAGCAAGTACACCAAGATCACACAATCCTGAAGGAGAAAGGGAAACAAGACTTATGTACTGTTCCCACTGCATTCCAGTACATGGCAGTGAATCAGCAATTCACTCCCAAACATAGCTGATGTGGCTCAGGAGGTGTGAATAGGCACTGCACTCCTGACAGAGAGACCTGGGTTCGATTCCCAGGCAGGGTGAAACATTGGGCAAGTTTCCTTACTCCACGCGCCTCTGTTTACCAAGCAGTAAGTAGGAACCCGGTTGTTAGTCGATTGGCGGATCACTTTCACACACAGGTTAATAATCCCTTCAAAACTAAATAACAAAATTGGGTCACTAAATCCACAACTTTTTCAGACACGGCTGTGCACAATTGACTGCCATGTTTCGTCCACAAAGCATACAGTGAATTCACTTTACAGTATATTCTGGAGACAATGTCAGGAGTGATGCAATTCACAGCTGCGCAGTAGAAATGCAGTGAGTACCTATTTCCCCGCACGCTAAATACTTGAATTTGGTATAGCGCCTTTCATGTCAGGAGGATATCTTGGAAGCGTTTCACAGGATATACTGTGAAGTGAAGTGACTGTGTATTTTGTTGCCAAATGTGGCAGCTAATTTGTCACAGCATTGTTTTAACAGCCATGGAGTGAATGATCAATTTTAACTGGGAGTGGGGCCGTGGAATTTGTTGGCCAGGACACCAGGAGAAACTCCCTTCTCTTTTCAAATATTCCCATGGGATTTTTAACGCTCACTTGAACAGGCAGATTCTATCTTGCTTTAATGTTTCATTCAAAGGACAGTACCTCCAATAATGCAGCTCAAGACCATGGGATTTTTAACGTCCACCTGAACAGGAAGACGGGGCCTCGGTTAAAAGTCTCACCCAATGTGCCACACCTCAGACAATGTACCACTCCCCCAACACTGCAAAGGAGTTGAAGTTCCGACATGGGGCTTGAACCCACAAGCTCTGATTCAGAGGCAGCAGTGCTACCTACTGAGCCAGGCTGACACCTGGCTGGCTCAGGAAGAAGCACAAGTATGTTCACAATAAACCTAATACTGTACACAAAGATCTGTTTATTTTACACCCGAAAAAATACATTTCTACAGAGCCAAAGACTCAAGCAAGGAAACTTACCTTCAAGAGATATGTTTCCTCCCATCTGTTTGTTTTGCCCACAAAATATACAGTCAATTCACTTTACAGTATATTCTGTGAAGCGCTTTGAGACGTCCGAAGACGTGATAAGGTGCTACATTAAATGCAAGAATTATTATTATTATCTGTAGGTAATATAATGCCCAATGCATAACCTTAGTTTATAATGTATAAGAAGGAATCGTTTTAAATAATGTATTAATTAATGTAATTGGACAAAACTCAGGTTTTGTACACTGAATTGTAAAACTATTTTCTACTGTTTTATGAATTGGGAGGAACATTTGTCTCTTTAAAGGAACATTGCAATCACGGAAAAGGGATTGGCTTTTTTTCTCTTTATTTTAATGATAGAAACTGCGTTGAAATGCACCAAGGCATCTCTTGCTTGCAGTAATCCCATGGTCCAAGTGATGCATTCATTTGCTCCTCTCACTCCCCAAATACAACAACAACTTGCATTTATATCGCGCCCTTCACATGGGGTAGCATCCCAGAGCACTTGGCTCCAGGACACTAATAAACCCAGGTTTTCCCAAACACCTCTTCATCAAGACCACTTCCAGATAGCAATGAATTTTAAAATAACGCAGTATGTGGGAGAACTCACTAATTACATGTTCTGTGCTATCATAACTCTGCAAGAGGAGATCAACAACAATAACCTGCTTTATATAGCACCCTTCACAGGGTCCAACATCCAGGAACACTTAACAGTAGCACATCCTGTCTCTGAGCCGGGCAGAGGGCGGGGTGACTGTAAGTCTGGTTGAAGAGAAAGATATTCAGTCGTGATCTAAAAGACAGGAATGAGGGGGCAAGGTGGAGGGATTGGGGGAGAGAGAACAGACTGCAAATGGAGAAAATGCTGATAAGGAACTGAGGCAATGGTCCATTTAATGTTCCCAGCCATTACTTGTTCTGACTGGGTTATTGCAGTGATTGGGGCATGAACCTCTTTGAACCAAGCAATGGGACCGGTGTCCCATGACTGGGGTGCAGATATGGGCTGGGGTGCAGATATGGGCTGGGGTGCAGATATGGGCTGGGGTGCAGATATGGGCTGGGGTGCAGATATGGGCTGGGGTGCAGATATGGGCTGGGGTGCAGATATGGGCTGGGGTGCAGATGGGGACTGGGGTGCAGATGTGGGCTGGGGTGCAGATGTGGGCTGGGGTGCAGATGTGAACTGGGGTGCAGATATGGGCTGGGGTGCAGATGGGGGCTGGTGTGCAGATGTGGGCTGGGGTGCAGATGTGGGCTGGGGTGCAGATGTGAACTGGGGTGCAGATATGGGCTGGGGTGCAGATGGGGGCTGGGGTGCAGATGTGGGCTGGGGTGCAGATGTGGGCTGGGGTGCAGATGTGGACTGGGGTGCAGATGTGGACTGGGGTGCAGATGTGGACTGGGGTGCAGATGTGGACTGGGGTGCAGATGGGGGCTGGGGTGCAGATGTGGACTGGGGTGCAATTACGGTGCTGTACGACAGAGCTCAGCCAATCACACAGGATTCAGAGAAAAAATTCTTACATCCCCTGACATCCAGATCACACCGCTTTTAGCACTCTGCGGGGAAAAAGCAGGTTGCGTTGCGTTTAAAGGGCAGACGTCACGATAACAGTTTAAAATGCCCTGATATCGACATTTTCCGCACTTTATTGAACACTGTAACATCACTGCAGGTTAAAAAAAAATATTATATCGCCAATGTACAGTATCCGTCGGTGCAGCAGTTTGCTTTGGAGCAATGGTGCACAGACTGAATGAAATTACCGCTCTCACCTTAAAAGACATCTCTCTGGGTTGTGTTTCCTGATCCAAGGCTTGAACAGGTGAAGGTTAAAAGCACAGACGGCCTGGATCTGCCTCCCCAGCGGGTCCGCAATGGAGACTGTTTTCATCCACAGAAGAGGCTGAGAGGACACTCACTGGATTGTGCCGCAGAGACAGGGAATCCTCTTCCATATCACAGCAACACAGACTGCACTGACCTGTGCTGCCTGGTACTGCGCGTCCTCACAGTCAGCTGCCCTGCCTCCCAGTCTGTCTGTCTGTCTGTTAGCCTCTCACTCTGTCTGTCTGTCTGTCTGCCTCTCACTCTGTCTGTCTGTCTGTCTGCCTCTCACTCTGTCTGTCTGTCTGTCTGCCTCTCACTCTGTCTGTCTGTCTGTTAGCCTCTCACTCTGTCTGTCTGTCTGTCTGTCTGCCACTGAGAGACCCATCCCCAAGTGTCACCAGCAGTCCAGACTTGGTAATGAATGGATGATTCTCTGTGTCACTGGTTATGTCTGGATAGTGTCCAGACATCCTGTCAGCACCAAAGACAGAGGAAGTATTTGCCTGGCTCCTCTGGTCAACCTCTGAGTCAGAAGGTTTTGGGTTCAAGCCCCCACTCTGGGACTCTGAATCTACATAGACCAGGTTGACACCCTGTGTGGTGGTGTGGGTTGGGGGGAGGAATGTGCTAAATTGTCAGAGATGCCGATCTTCAAATGGATCTTTCAAACAAGGTCCTCTCCGCCCGTTCAAACAACGAATTGTATTTATACAGAGCCTTTCACGTTGGGATGACGTCCCAAGGTGCTGGACAGTGAAGGGTTTGCACCAGAACTGGGGGCTAGAGTCAAGCAGGGTGGAGGGCAAGGGGGATAGAGTCGCGGTCGAAGAGGAGGGTCTTGAGACATGACCTTGAAGGAGGCAAGAGAAAGGGCAAGGTGGAGGGGCTCCAGGATGGGATTCTGTCTGAAGTACACACACCCCATAAAGTGTTCAGTGCAATGAATGCATCTATCCTCAATAAGGGTAATCCTCACGAGACCGAGAACTATTGAGGAATCTCATTGATTTCAGTGGCTTTAAAGTGGCACTTTAGTTTGTCACGGCACATACATCAATCAGATGCATTAGATGTGTTAGGTATAATCAGGATGTATTCTGTTCTCGTGAGGAGCATGTAGAGCAAGAAAATGTGACCAGAGTCTGTGGAGCAACATTCTAAATTATTGGTGTTGATGTATTGGTCATGGAAGCAGTGTGTCTCTTCCAGACATCTGCTTCATCATATTCTGCCCAAGGAAAGGTACTGTTAAATGCACTCCTCAACTTCAAGGCCCGTGCATCCAATTAATTGTGTTAATGTTTTCCGAAGGGTAAATCCCAGAATAAAAATGTAAGCGAAAATAATAAAAATAATAATAATACAACAAAAACAGAAGTCACTGGGAACACTCGGCAGGTCAGGCAGCATCTATGGAGAATGGAAAGTGAGTCAACGTTTCAGGTGGACGACCCTTCGTCAGAACTGGGGCATGTTGGGAGGGAGAGACTTTTAAGGCCTCACAGAGAGGGGGAGGCAGGGCAAGGATTACAAAGGAGAAAATGGGGAAGAGGATAATGGGTTAACAAGATGTTAATGATGCAAAACGAAGGGGGGGGGAAATTGCAACAAAATAGGCAGACCAGAGAGAGAAAAGCTGTGTCTGGGACCCAGATGATGTGGTGATGGTCACAGAAGAATGGGAGTGAGAAGGTGAGTATTATGGTCTGAAATTGTTGAAATCAATATTGAGACCAGAGGGCTGTAAGGTCCCTAGCAGATAAATGAGATAATAATAATATTAATAATCCTTGCGTTTGAATTAGCACCTTATCACATTGTTGAGACGTCTCAAAGCACTTCACAGAATATATTGTAAAGTGCATTGACTGTGTATATTGTGCGTGAAAAATGGCAGTCAATTGCACATAGCAATGTTTCACAAACAGGCGTAGATTGAGTGAACAAATGTTTTTTGTTATTTTTTTTTGGAGGGATTACCCCCAGAAAGCAATCCGCCAATCGTCTTAACAATTGGATTCCTACTTACTGCTCGGTAAACAGAGGTGTGTGGAGTAAGGAAACTTGTCTAAGGTTTCGCCCTGTCTGGGAATCAAACCTGGGTCTTCTCGCTTGCGAGGCGAGTGTGTTAACCACTACGCTATAGGACTCCATGTAAAAAACACTATGTGCAAAATATGGACGTCAATGCCGACACAATCTATAAACCAATTTCCATTTGCCTTTTCACATGGACCATGAAGACCCCACAGTAATATTTGAAAAGAGTTTCTCTTCTGTATAATAATAATAATAATCCTTGCATTTGATATAGCGCTTTTCACATCTTCTAGGCATCTCAAAGTGCTTCACAGAATATACTGTAAAGTGAATTGACTGTATATTTTTGGGCAAACAGTCGTGGATTGAGTGACCAAATTTTTTTTTTAGGGATTATTAACCCCGGAAAAGCAATCCGCCAATCGACTAACAACCGGATTCCTACTTACTACTAGGTAAACAGAGGCGTGTGGAGTAAGGAAATTTTCCCAATATTTCACCCTGCCCGGCTTGCGAGGTGAGTGCTCTAACCACTGAGAAGCAGTATAAAATATTCATTCACTTCTGTGCTGTTTGTGGGACATTGTATTTGCATGTATTAGCTGTCTTGATCGCCTGCAAACACATAATCACTGTACTGGACACCAGTTACCTGTGAAGTGCTTTGAAATGTTTTGATGTTAAAGGTGTCATATCAAATGCAAGAATTATTTGTATGTATATCTCTCGGGCTGGTTTGGATACTCTTAAGCATGGTGATGTGTTTCTGCATGTGTCAAATATCTTGCGGATAAAGAGAAAAACACCGAATGTAACATATTTTTAACATACTAGGCCTAGTCTTGACAACAACAACAACAGCAACAACTTGCACTTATATAGTGCCCACCATGCAGGATAGCGTCTCAGAGCGCTTAACAGTGTCAGAGCCTGACTCCGAGCCAGGGGGAGGGGCGGAGGTGGCCGTAAGTACAGTCAAACAGGAAATTTTCAGGCGGGACTTGAAAGATGGGAGAGAGGGGCAAGGCGGAGGGATTGAGGGAGATTGTTCTTGAATTTTGGGGTGTAGTGGCTTGAAGCACGACCTCCGATGGTGGAGTGGAGGGTGTGAGGGACGAGCAGGAGGCTGGTGCCACTCGAGCGGAGGTGCCGGGTTTTGGAGCGAGGAGATCAGAGCGGTAGGGGAGTACCAGGTAGTGAATGGATTTGACATCGACAGGACATAAATCTATGCCATTTGGAAGAAGCAAAGCATAACCTGTCCAACGGGCAAAAACAGGAGCACCTGTGGTGATTTTGGAAGGTTTAACCATGCCTGCATTTAATTTTGTGTCGATCAATCCACCCACAAAAAATAGGCTGTAAGAAAAGTGTGCCTGTAAATTGTAAAATGTCTGCATCTAATTAAAATAAACGATTCCCAGATGAAAATATTTCTACCAACACAGCAATGATTCATTTCTAATTTAAAAAAAACCTGAGCAGTGAAGGAGGCTGCAGACACAAAGAGTGACTGGTATTCTATTAGTCTAGGGTGGTCCAACTGGCAGCCCACAGGCTACATCCAGCCTATTTCATCCGCCCCCCCACCCCTTTCCTCCCTCCCCTTCATCTGGTCAGCCCATACCTCCATAACCCATAAATGTTATGTTATGTTTCTGGAAGAGAAACACAAAAATATTGCTCTTGCAACCCGCAGACATTTCACAAATAGGGCATCCAGCCCTCAACAGCCAAAAGGTTGTGCCACTCTATATTACGCATTGGAATCCACACGTGAGCCGAGTTTCCTGGATCGCACCATTATGGGAATGTCTCAGAGAAAGCTTCCTGGCTAGAGCTCTTCAGAGAAGCATATGTTCTATTAAACAGCCATTCTTTGTTTGGATTGAGAAAAGTTGTGTAAATTGGAACTGGACTCAAATGCCAAGTGGGTTCTGTTAAACTCCTCTCGTTTAATTCATATTAACTTGGTTCCTTCACTTTTCTGTGTTCTTACCAGCCTCAGGGTTTTTCTTTTTTCTTTCTATTCAGAACTCTGCAGCTCATGTACTGTCCCGCACCAGGCTTCGGGACCACATCACTCCCACCCTCGCTCGCCTCCACTGGCTTCCCATCCCCCAGAGGAACGAATTCAAGATCCTCATCCTCACCCACAAGGCCATTCACAGCCTTGCTCCCTCCTACCTCTCCGACCTACTATTCCCCTACCTACCTGCCCATACCCTCCATTCCTCTGGCTCCGGTCTGCTCCACATCCCCCGCCACAACCGCCCTACTATCGGTGGCCGGGCCTTCAGCCTCTCAGCCCCTAGGCTCTGGAACTCTATCCCCCAGTGCCTTCGCCTTTCCTCCTCCCTTTCCTCCTTCAAGGCCGGTCTCAAGATCTTTCTCTTTGACCGTGCCTTCAGCTCCCCTCTCGACTCTCTACCCCCTCCTCGCTCCCTCCCTTCTCTCTCCTCACCCTAACCATTTCCCCCCTGCTCAGGTCCTGACCCAACTGTACAGTGCCTTGGGAAGTCCTCCCGACGTGAAAGGCGCTCTATAAATGGAATCTTGTTGTTGTTGTTGTTATTTTTTTCGCAACCTTTCCTTCCACCCTCTTATTATGATAATAATAATCCTTGAACTTGATATAGCGCCATATCACTTTGTTGAGACATCTCAAAGCGCTTCACAGAATATACTGTAAAGTGGATCGGCTGTATTTTGTGGGCGAATCGCGGAAGCCAGTTGCACGCAGCAATTTCCCACTAACAAGAATGGAGTGAGTGACCAATTTTAATTGGGGGATTGTTGGCCAGGACACAAGGAAAGAGAAATGCCCTTCTCTTTTCGAATAGCGCCACAGGATCTTTAACATCCACCTGAACAGGCAAATGGAACCTTGGTTTAATATCTCAACCGAAGGACGGCACCTGTGACAATTCTTTCATCACAAGGTAATCATATTTACTGGCTCAACTATTTTTCAGATTGATGATCATGTTTGAGAACTCTGAACATCACCTTGTGGAGAACACAGTATAAAACTACCAGTAATTAGGCTGGACGTGAAACTAAACTGGCAACTTTGCTCAGAGATGCCATAAGGGTGACTGGCATGGATCAATGGTTGTGTTCAGTCATTAGGATTAAGTCTGTACACTCTACAGCT